AATATAGACCTTGGTTAATGGTTAAATGTGTTTACTATTTAAAACCTTACTTGGACAGTGCGCATAACACTAATTTATTATTTTTCTTTCTCTTTTTCTGTTTTTTTAAGTGGGAGAAATATATAGCACTTGCATGCCAGCACGGCTTAAAACAAAGGTTTGATTGCAAACACAGAATCAGCAGAATTAATGAAAAATAAGATGGCGTAATTGAAGTAATCCTAGCATATTCAGCAATTATGCTTTGATTGGCAAAAATAATATTTCTTTATTCCAGCAGAAATTCCCAGTTAAGTTATGCTATTATTGGCAAAAATAAGATTTGGAAGTTTAATTAATAATAGAAAATTTTACGTTTTCAAATATGCGGTTTCAATCGGTTTTATTTTTTTATGTTATAGGTGTTTATTTAATTAAACATAAAATTACACGTTTATACTTATTTCTAAGTATTGAGAATCTGTGCCCTATTGAATAAATTAATCAAATCAAATAATTATAATATTTAATATTGGGCGCTTATAATGAGTTGAGTTTAACTTTAAACCACAAAACGGAAGCCATTTTGGTTGGTTCACCCTTACGATTATGATTGCCTTTTAGTTTAGTTATTTTTAAATCCGATGTGGGTTATTACCAACATACTCCGAACGACTACGTACTTGTAATTTTTTTATCCAATTAATATAACATTATAAATTAATCTAATATTTAATTTGATAAAAAAACGTTGAGGAAATAGAATGAAATTTTAAACTATATATAATAATCAAATTGTGATGATAAATTAATAAATAAAAGATATATAATTTAACTGAACAAAAAATGTTTAAATAATAATCACCTCTTTTGTGGCATATTAGTGTTCTTTCTCTGCCACTCTTTTGTTTTTTGCATTAAATTATTTGTACCTTTTATTTAAAAATATATATATAATATAATTAGATTTCTTTAATGGCAGTTACTCTATTCATAATAGTTTTATACTTTTCCTTTAAAAATGACATCAGCATGCAAATTAAATAAATATTTATTACAAATAATGACAATATTGACAAAACTTTAAATATTATTTAATTACCTTTATAATAAGATAAGTAACTTTATATTTCTCCTACCATGTTACTATTTATACTTAAAAGAAAAAAACAATATATATATAATGAAAATAGATTAAGTGCTATTTAAATTTAAAACTTAATTTATTAATATATCTTAACACATCAATGTACAATCAAATTTATATGGACTTAACCTATCCAAAAATCATCTACCTCTAATTTATAATTGGATGAATCATTTTTTTTTTTTAAATTTATTGGACAAAAATAGAAAAAATTAAATATTAAGTTATCGATAATACACCATGATATTATAAAATAAAAAACTATCACTTATTGAATATGCCTTTTTTTTTTTTTTTCCTTTTTTTAAAGATACATGACTGCTTGTTTATATGAGGCAAAAAAAAAAAAAAAAAAAAAAATCTAAAAAGAAAAACAAACTATTAAATGTAACAAATATAAACATATATTTGGACTATTTGAATGCCATTATATCCAAAGATTGGGCAAAAAAAAAAAAAAAAAAAAAAAATCTAAAAGAAAAACAACTATTAAATGTAACAATATAATACATAATTGGACTATTGAATGCAAATCCAAGATTGGGCTATTGGGTAAAAATAATAATAATAATAATAATAATAATAATGGGGATATTGAGAGTAGAGAACTATTTGCCATTCAATGAAGACAAGTTGGAGTGGACGCCCTTACTCATAGGTTGCTTGTTAGGGAACAAGGATTTTGCACACCAATTTTTACCGGTAAATCTCCTATTACTTAAACTGATAGTATTTGGTATTTACCTATAAATTCTTATCAGCCTAATTCTTCTAACCATTTATTATTTTATCTTTTTTTTCTTCTAAAAAATATATTCTGATTTGAACGTAATAATTTAATATGTTAAGAAATTAAAATCAGTGTCCAAAACATTAATTTTAAGTGCTAATTTGAAATTTATGATTGTTCAGCTGGAGTAGCTCATTTGGTTTGAGCGTGCGACTGCTGATTACAAGGTTGAAGGTTGGATCCCTTTCTATAGTGATTTTCATCGTACAAATTTTCATGATGACAAGTCTTCTTTTTGACTTTGTATTGAGCCCGGCTGGAATTCGATACATAGTTTTTTCTGGGCTTTGAACTCACCATTTGAGTGAATCATAGCTCTGAACATCAAGTTTTGGGCTTAATGCTGGACCTAATAAATAAAAAATTTACCTTCTAAACAACGGCTAATGTCATCATGCATAGATTAAGTTAGCGGTTTGCGAAAACGACAGCTGATTCTGGGCAGCACTGCTCGTTTCAGTTTGGGATCGGATAATAAGTAAAACGATAGGACGTTCAAAACAAGCTTCTAAAAATTCATCGACGGAACGTCCATTTCTCCGCTGCCAAACACCTCCAATTGCATGAGCACGCACGAGTGAATCCATTCCCCTCGTACACCACGGAACGGAACATTCTAGAACACCTTCTTCTGGAATCACCAGAACTCTCTCGTCCTCGACTTTATTTCCTATAATACCCCTCTCTTTCTCTTCCCCTAATCCTTACTTTCTCCCCAAATCACAAATTCCAAAATTCTCAATTCCTTCGAAAAGCCTCCCTAAACACCTACTCTTTTGCGTTTCATGGCCGACGAAGCCAAAGCCAAAGGCAACGCCGCATTCTCAGCCGGCGACTTTACCGGCGCCGTCAAACACTTCACTCAAGCAATCTCACTAGCCCCTTCTAATCATGTCCTCTATTCTAACCGATCTGCTGCTTATGCCTCGCTGCACAACTACGCTGACGCGCTAGTCGATGCAAAGAAAACCGTCGAGCTTAAGCCCGACTGGTCTAAAGGATATTCTCGCCTGGGCGCGGCTCACCTTGGATTGCACCAAATTCAGGACGCTATCGCAGCGTATAAGAAGGGGCTCGAGATTGATCCCAACAATGAAGCGTTGAAGTCTGGCTTGGCTGATGCTGAAGCGGCAGCTTCTAGGTCGCGAGCCGCGCCGCCGCCTAGTCCGTTTGGGGATGCGTTCTCTGGACCTGAGATGTGGGCGAAATTAACGGCGGATCCGTCAACGAGGATGTATTTGCAACAACCGGATTTTGTTAAGATGATGCAGGAGATTCAGAGAAACCCTAGCAATTTGAATCTGTACTTGAAAGATCAGAGAGTGATGCAAGCTTTGGGGGTTCTTTTGAACGTGAAATTTAGAGCACCGAATGCTGGAGACGATATGGAGGTGCCAGAGGCGGAGTCCCCTCCTTCCCAGTCGGAGAAAAACGCAGAGCCTGCGAAGGAGGAGAAGGCTCCTGAGCCTGAACCAGAGCCTATGGATGTTTCAGTAGAGGAGAAAGAAGCTAAGGAGAGGAAAGCTCAAGCAGTTAAAGAGAAAGAGTTGGGAAATGCAGCTTATAAGAAGAAGGATTTCGAGACTGCAATTGCACATTACACTAAGGCAATGGAGCTGGACGATGAGGATATTTCATATTTGACAAATCGTGCTGCTGTTTATCTCGAGATGGGCAAGGTAATTCCTTTTTTTGGTTTAGCTATATTTTGTTTATGTTTCCTTAAATTGAAAGTTAAAATTATAAAAACTTTAGAAATTGCATATATTTCTCTTGCTAGATACGTCATGGGCTCCTGTTTCCTTTGTGTTAATATATGTTGGTAGGCTGTTTTGCCTTGGTTATGAATCACTTACGCTTCCTTTACAGAGTTCCCATTTATGCTATTCGAGTTTACATATGTGGACTGCTTAATAATGTCCTGTATAACCATTTTTTATTGATCCCTAAAAATGTCGAGCATTGCTATCAGATATTGCTCTCTTTTGTCTTATAGAAGTAGGAACTAACATCCATTGTGCAAAGCATTTTCGTATTAGAAAGTAGCCGGTTGGTCTAATACATGTTTAGGACAGCAACAAGCTAGTAATCTCTCCAAGTAACCTTTAACATTATCTTGAGGTACCCTGTTTTCATAGTTTATGTGGGTAATGAACTAGTGATAAAAATTTGTGCTTTTGATTTGAATATATATGCATGTTTGTATTTACAAATGAGTTCAAAGAACATTTTGTATACAATTGTCTTTCTAATTTTAGCGCCAGTCAAAAGATACTTTAAAATTGAATAATTTTATTCCAAGTCAATGGGAATAGATAAAAAAAAAAAAAAAGAATAGGTGAATAGGTGTTTTAAAAATTATGTTTTTTTAAAATAACCTGATGTTATATCTGTGTGTCTGTTTTGGCATCGAATCAATCTGTAATCCCGTTTCTGATTCTATTGCTGCAATTTTAGTATGAGGAATGTATAAAAGACTGTGACAAAGCTGTTGAGAGAGGAAGGGAACTCAGATCAGACTTTAAGATGATAGCAAGAGCTTTGACAAGGAAGGGAACTGCCTTGGTAAAAATGGCCAAGTGCTCAAAGGATTATGATATTGCTATCGAGACATTCCAGAAAGCTCTTACTGAGCATCGCAACCCAGACACTTTGAAGAAACTAAATGATGCAGAGAGAGCAAAGAAAGAACTGGAGCAACAAGAATACTTTGATCCAAAATTGGCTGATGAGGAGCGTGAGAAAGGTATGACTTAATATCAAAATTGAGCAGTTATTCAAGTTTTTGCTGTCTTCTGTCATTCTTCTTTTTAAATGACCTCATTAGTTTTCTCACTCATCATCCATTTGTCCTTATCCTTTGAGAAAAAGAAATGAAGAAGAAAAGAAAGAAAAAGAATGAACGATAGAAAAAATCCGATTTTTATTCCAAACACCTAAGAAGCTCATATATAAATGCTTATTTTTGGCTTCTATTATCCATTTGGGCATGCAATTAACTCTGTTATGATGATGGTACCAATTTTCTGCAGGCAACGAGTATTTCAAGCAACAAAAGTATCCAGAGGCTGTGAAGCATTACACAGAAGCTTTGAGAAGGAACCCGAAAGATCCAAAGGTAAAAAAGACTCTCAAATCCAAATGTTATGTTGCACATTATGTATTATGATTCTGCTAGTCAACTTGGTTTTTACTTGTGGCTTTTTGCTACTTGCTTCCTTTAGGTATACAGTAATAGAGCTGCATGCTATACTAAACTGGGAGCTTTACCCGAGGGATTGAAGGATGCAGAGAAATGCATTGAGCTTGATCCAACTTTTTCAAAGGGTTATACGAGAAAAGGGGCTGTTCAATTTTTCATGAAAGAGTATGACAAGGCCCTGGAGACCTACCAGGAAGGGCTTAAACATGATCCTCAGAACCCAGAATTGCTTGATGGTGTCAGAAGGTATGCGATACTACTACCACATATTTGAACCGATTTTATTTGCGCATCCTGTTATTGAAAATGTTAATTATGTACTCAATTGTTTTGCAGATGTGTTGAACAACTTAACAAGACTAGCCGTGGTGATATAAGCCCTGAAGAACTGAAAGAGAGACAGGTTAGTGTTTTTATGTCTTTTGCAGCCATATTCTATTTGGGAGTTCACTTTGGTTGTGTTGGGGATTGAACGTTTTAGAGGAAGTGGTCTAAAGTTTGTTGCATATTGCAGGCCAAGGCAATGCAGGATCCAGAAATTCAGAATATCCTCTCAGATCCTATCATGAGACAGGTAAAGGTTCAAAGTTCCTTTCTAAATGGATAAACTTTTCTTGTCATATTTGACAATGCTAGAGAATTGTTGGTTTCGCTTATTTTTGTAACTTTGCGTGATCCAAATATTGCAGGTCTTGGTTGACTTCCAAGAAAATCCCAAGGCAGCTCAGGAACATATGAAGAATCCCATGGTCATGAACAAGATTCAGAAGCTTGTGAATGCAGGAATAGTTCAGATCAGATAAGAGTTGAAGCCAAAACAACCAAATTCTATGATAATGCAGTTTAATCATTTCACTGAATTGTAATCTCCATTGTGGATTGTTTCATAAAAACTAATTTAAGTTGGAAAAATTTTGAGGCATTTGCCTGTTTTTAGTTCACTACCAGACATTTATGCTTTCTTTCTCTCGCATGCTCTAGCACTGCGTGTTCCCTCATCTTCTGCTTCTAGCAGGATCTGTCTTTGTTTATGCCCTTTCTGATGTCCTGTCTGATTCGCCAGCTACCTTACACGTAAAGTCGTTAAGATGTAAACCTTTTTATGAAGGCATGCCAACTTTAGCCTTTGATTGGATGGGTGTAAAGTTTAGGTGGACATAAAATAAAAAGTGAATATTTATCGGGTGTCAAAATTCCTTGTTTGGTTTGAGGTAAAATATCAAAGAGGGTCATCTGTTTTAAACCTATTTTAACTTCATTTTTACTTCATTTTGGGAGGAAAATGAATAGTAAAATTTCCCCCTTCCCAGACAAAGTTTTAGTTTTATATTTTTGATTGATTTTTTGAAAGTTTTCTTTTAATTTAGTGTTACTTTCTAAGAAAATCACCGGATGATCTCAAATTAAAAAAAACAGTAAGAGTAATTGATTTATTATTTTTTAGTCAAAAAAAGGTTAAAAAGTATAATAATAACTATTTTAAATATTAAGATTAATAATATTATTAATATAATTATTTTAGTTCTATAATGATGACAATTTTTATTATTTTTTTAATAATTTATTGCATTCCTTATTTTAGATTTATCATTTTTAATCATCACGAGTCACGATGCAAGAGATAAACTGAAGCAAGCATTTCTAGTTGCTCTCAATAGAAGAAAATTACATTGTAAAGTATTATCGTATGACATATTGATTTTAAACAATTCAAAACTATAATCTATAGATTATTCGAATTGAAAGAAAAATATGAAATTTTATTTAAGAGTATTGGGAAACGGAAATGCAAACCAAATTATATGCCCAATTATCACTATTGTTGCATAATAATGTGAATTCTTAATCTAAATAAATTCTAATCCAAGCATTGAAGAAAAAGTATAAAAGACCCAGTTGTAAATTTCTCTCCGGAGTTGGCTGCGGCTAATATCATGGAAGGTTATTACATAATTTGATCTTCTCTTACAGTTTTTACAGAATCAACAATCATGTTTGGGACACAAAATTGTGTGTCAATTCTTTTCGACTAAATTTGTTTGCATTTTATATCTGAAGTGAGTACAGATGAAATCAAAACTGGTTCCTCGAATCATTCAGTATCAACTTCACAAAAATTTATAATAATGCCACCTCTCACAGGATTCTCTCACAGGATTCACGCAGCAACTTCTTGCTCTTTTGCAGCAAGCTGATTTTGAATGTGTTGAGGAACAACATCAAACTTGGCTAATTGCATTGTGTACGATGCACGGCCTTTTGTCATTCCTCTAAGGGTACTAACATATTGGAACATCTCTGCCAGTGGAACAAGGGCATCAACCACCTGCATTAATCACAAACGATCGACGAATTAGCAAAATATTAATAAAACATGAACATCAAATGTGAATGCTTTGCGCATGTTTCTTGCCTTTGCTAATGACATCTTTGTTTTGGGTACTATAGAAAGAATTCTTATAGCCAACCCTAAGTAGTTTGTGATTAAGGTTTAGTGTTGTTTTTGTTGTTTTTGGGTACTATATAAGTAAAAGAAGAGGTATGAAATATCTAGGTAAAGTTCAGCCAGAGTTGCCAATCGTTGGTTAGTCAATCGAGAAATAAAAGATCGTACTTAAATTTACATACCTTCAGACCACCAGGTTTATCACCGAAACTGTTGATCTGACCTCTCCTTGAGTTAAGGTCACCAATCACATCTCCCAAATGTTCTTCAGGTGTGACCACTTCCACTTTCATTATAGGTTCTAACATCTTTGGGCCAGCTCTCTTCATGCCATCCCGAAAAGCTCCCCTAGCTGCCAGTTGAAATGCCAAGACGCTCGAGTCGACATCGTGGTAAGAACCATCTACTAATACAGCACGTACATCAACGACAGGGAAACCTGCCAGCACTCCATTAGACATGCACTCTTCTAATCCTTTCATTACTCCAGGAATATATTCTTTAGGCACAGCACCTCCCTTGATTTCACTTTTGAACTCGTATCCACTGCCTGCCTCCATGGGCTCAAATCGTATTGTTACATCAGCAAACTGTCCTTGTCCACCAGACTGTTTTTTATGCACATACTTCACTTCTGCAACTTTGGAAATGCTCTCACGGTAGTTTACTTGGGGTGCACCAACATTAGCTTCCACCTGTTTGAGTGAAGCAATCCATGTCATTTTTATACAAATCGACATTTAGGAGAACTATGAATTTCTTTTTTATAACTTTTTTCTTAATATCTTTTCAGAACCGCAAAAAGTAATAACTGTTGAATTTCTCACAGAGAAAAAACACCGGAACAATATTCAAGGGTTTAAGCACCACAAAAGTGAAAAGAAAATTTGGAACCATGTGCATGAACATTTAAGATTAAATTGGAAACAGATGGATAAAAAGCATATACAAACCTTAAATTCCCTCTTTAGGCGATCCACAATGATCTCAAGATGCAATTCCCCCATTCCTTCAATAACAGTCTGGTTGATTTCTTCATCTCGTGAGAAGTGGAAAGAAGGATCCTCTTGAGCAAGTTTGATCAAACCATTTGCCATCTTATCAACATCAGCCTTGGTCTTGGGTTCAATTGCAACCTTGATCACAGGATCAGGGAAGTCCATACGTTCAAGCACAATCGGATTATCAGCATCACATAGTGTTTCTCCAGTTATGGTATCTTTTAGACCTGCAAGGGCAACAATATCACCAGCTAAAGCCACCTTAACATCTTCCCTACTATTAGCATGCATTTCAAGAAGTCTTCCAATTCTCTCCTTCTTTCCTTTGTTTGCATTCAGTACATAAGATCCCGCAGATAGCTTCCCTGCATAAACTCTCACAAACGTGAGGGATCCTACAAATGGATCGCTCATGATCTTGAAGGCTAATCCAGCAAATGGTTCATCATCACTGGCGGTCCTTTCAATTGTTTTTTCTGGGTTCTCAGGGTCAGACCCTTTCATTGCTGGCAACTCGAGAGGGGAAGGCAAATAATCAACAACAGCATCAAGCAATGGCTGAACCCCCTTGTTTTTAAAAGCAGAGCCACATAAGACTGGCACAAAATTGCTGGAAATTGTGCCCTTCCTAATTAATTTTTTTATTGTCTCCTCATCAGGTTCAGCTCCTTCTAGATATTTTTCCATAGCATCATCATCCAACTCAACTATAGTCTCTATCAATTGTGCTCTGTATTCTTGAGCCAACTCTTCAAGATCAGCTGGGATATCAGCATATTCAAACTTTGCACCCAATTCTTCCCCTGACCAAAGTATAGCTTGCATCTTTACAAGATCAATAACTCCTTTAAAATTATCTTCTGCACCAATTGGAAGTTGAATAACAAGGGGTTTAGCACCCAAGTTTGTAATTATCATGTCTCTTGTTCGGAAAAAGTTTGCTCCAAGGCGATCCATCTTATTGACAAAACAAATTCTAGGTACTCCATATTTATCAGCTTGCCTCCATACAGTTTCAGACTGTGGTTCCACACCAGCAACACTGTCAAATAGGCAGATAGCACCGTCCAATACCCTGAGTGCTCGTTCCACTTCGAGTGTGAAGTCAACGTGGCCAGGAGTATCAATAATGTTAATGCGGTGTTTGTTCCAGAATGTGGTGGTTGCAGCAGAAGTAATTGTGATCCCTCTTTCTTGTTCTTGCTCCATCCAGTCCATTGTAGCTGTCCCTTCATGTACTTCTCCTATTTTATAGTTTCTTCCTGTATAGTAAAGAATCCGTTCAGTTGTAGTGGTCTTTCCAGCATCTATGTGAGCCATAATTCCAATGTTGCGGTAATCTTTCAAAGGTACTGAACGCTTTGCCTCTGCCAAAGGAGAAGAAAGAAAACATGTTAACTGAAAAATGAAATATAGAACAACATTTGATAGTATAACACACAGATGTTAGCAATTGAGAGAACTTCATATTTCAATATTTCACATTATGGAGCTAACATAATAAATAATGCACAGTAAAGTGGGCTCCAATTAGTAGGTCATAGTATTTTACAACCAATCAAAAGTATCAAAGCTCTTGAAGCGAAGATGTTCAGAAGCGCAGTCACCATGTACAGTCAGGTAAGATAAATAGATAATTATCTAATTTCCACACATTTTTAATCATGCCTGGACTGCCTTTCTTTTGAATACATGGAATAAAGTAGAAACCTTGAGCAGGGTAAATTTAATTTGTGCTTTCAGATTAGGTGCAAACTCCAGAGCTCATAATTCAGCTCACTACCATTATCTTCTTGTCAATCCAACAAAAAGTTATACAATAAGCAGCCTAATTACAGAAAACTAACAAAGTCTAAACTTTAGAAAAGCTTGGGAAAGCTTAGGAAGGAAAAGAAACAAAGAAACAAGAAAGGAACACATAACAACATAAAGAAACAAACTAAAAACCAAATTTCAAATTCCATTATCAAGAAATCATAAGTAACATTAACTCCACGAAATAGCCCAATCACAACAATATAAGCAAAAGGGGACATATAAAATGGCATCTAAACAAAGGAATTCAGTAACTAAAGAATCAAAACAACTGAACTGAAAGAGATAGAGAAATAAAGACCTTCAGCGGCCATTGCAAAGACAGAAAAGTTTCTGCTCCTCTGTTGTTGACGTGAAATGGAGACTTTAGAAGACCGTGAGCCAATACGCACACTTCCCAGGAAATGAGAAAGCGAAGAAGAGATTGAAGAAGCGGAGACTGAAGATCGCGGAGGGAGACCCAGAAACCGAATTGGGGTAGAAGGAGAATTCCCTCTTCTTTGAGACCCATTGAAGCTGCAGAGTGAAACCGTTAATTTCACAGTCTCTGCCGCCATTTTCTTGGTTTAATGTTAGTGGTCTGAGTCTTTCCCTCGCTCACTAGTTGAGTTGTGAATGGGTGTTATTTAGGGATAACGAAACAGCTTCTCTGGCTTAGCTCTCTGTTCTCGCTGCTTCTCGGCCTCAAATATACATCCGTATTTTTATTTTTATATATCTTTTGGAAAAATGGAACTTTGTATTATTCAGATTTGCAATGAAAAGGAAACTTATTGAGAAATTATAAGGCCAGGAACAGCAAACAATGGCTTGAAAGAAGCCACATAACTCGCTCACAATTTTATCCTCAAGTGTACAAAAAGAGGTGGACCTTTGGGAAAATGCCCATCCGAACTTGAAGCTTAGAAGAGCCCACGACTCTGCATTTTAGTCTTATTTCTTGTTAACCATATTTAACCAATTTCTTAATCGAGAATAATTTTTTTATGAATTATTTTAAAATTTTTATTAAAAAAATATTTGGACTGGACTGACTAATGAATCAAACCGGATCAATTAAATGAAATGAAATTGTTCTTAACTTTCTTCAAATTTCATTTCAATGAACAATTTCTATTATAATAGGAGGCCTATTTATAAGTGCAAGTCCAATTTCAGCGGGCCATCAAAATTAAAAGGGCCGAGAACTAGTGGGTTTCAGTGTGAGCCTATGATCTGCTTTGCCAATTGGTATATTAGGAAAGGCTACCATTTCTAAATCTATGATTATTTTAAATTCAAAGTTTCAAAAATTCACACAAATTGTGTCAACATAACTTAATCCACTCCATGGTTTATGTTATTATCACTGGCATTCTTTATTTCTTTTACACTCTAATTACCAGTAAAGCTATCAAAAGATTCAATATATGTTACATAATAAGTTCAGCAGATAATATTCCAATCTTGTTTATCCCAATAAATTTATGTAATAGTGAAAATTTTGCTTAATGTATATATATTGAACAAGTAATTAACAAGATTCATAATACTTTATAGCTTTCTTCAAAAAAAAAAAAAAAAAATTATGACAGCAAGGATCATATCACATGCGCGACATTCGATTGGTGTGGTTCTTTGGTGGTGGAGATAGACCTCTTATACATGTCTTCACAGAAAGAAGTATAGGAACAAAAAAAAAATGTATCATTAGTATTGTATATTACCTTATCTTCAATAGGTAAGGATGAGTTATTAAGAGACCGATAGCCAGTTACTAGGTCACTATGAACGATGCGTTGAATGTCCGCAACGTATATCGACGTCACACAGGATTAAGTATTCTCGCTGTAGCATAATTATAGACAGCTACCACTCTATCATCTGGCGCTTACTGGGCCGGATAAACTCCTCGCGAGCACGAGACCAGAAGAAAGGAGAGTTATTCTATGCTATGCACTATATTCGGCTTATTTACGAGTGAATGAGATTGTAGCCCTTGGTAGTCAGGTCCACACGCGTAGGTAGTCTACACACAGAGACAGAGGAGGTGGCATAACAACATATACCTCGTCCTAACCATTGATTAGAGCTTTCTATACATATAAAGAAAGCGCCAGATTTCAGCTATTGAAAACATTAATTTGCTTGATCTAAAATATTTATTTGATATGATTAAAAAAAAAAAAAAAAAAATGTATCATAGAGTATGACTCACAGATTTTGATAAGGATATCACTGTGCCTGTAGTTTGATACAAAGAAGCCATTAGACTTGTACTTAAAACTTAATTAGTTTGACTCAAAATTTGACAATTTACACCTACTTTTAATATATATCTTATATATATATATATATATACACTTCGTCTAACATACATCGATCATTGGCTTTCATATAACATATAAAGAAGCGACAGATTTCAGCATATTGAAAACATTAATATAAATGCTCTGCTCTAAAATTTTTACTCGTCCCTGATTCCTGTTTGTCCTATTTTTATTTTCTGTGTACTGAAAAGTTCAACTTCATAATTGATAATTAAATTAGCCAAAACCTTCTCTTTATATAAACCTAATGAATTATCCTTTCATCATCAACTCCATATACACATAAACCTTTCAACTTAATCAAAAATGCATATCTCTAAATCAATCCCATTATCTTTCCTTCTTTTTTTTTTAATGCTCAATGTAGCATTTCCTGCAGACCCACTTTACCATATCTGTTTTTAGCCAAGAAAACTACGCTGACTATGGCCATCATCGCAACAGCTTGAATGGCTTGCTAAACCTCCTATCCACCAAAACTCCGGCAACCGGATTCGGACTAGCCTCAACCGGGCCACCAAGAGGCAGAGGCCATGTAAATGCGTTAGCTCTCTGCCGTGGCGACGTTGCGAAAAAAGACTGTAAAACTTGTGTCGCAAATGCTGGTGATGCTCTTATTGATCGTTGCTCTAATAACAAGGGAGCGATTATTTGGTACGATGACTGTTTATTGAAATACTCGAACTTTAACTTCTTTGGAGACATTGATGAACAAAACAAGTTTTACTTGTATAATTACCAGGATGTGGAGAAGATGAATCCTGCCCTGTTTAATAAAAAAGTTAAGGAGTTGTTAAGTGGATTATCAGGTAAAGCTTACGGGAATAAGAAGTTTTATGCAACAGGAGAGCTAAAGCTTTTTGGAGGGAAGTATAAGAAGATATATGGTATGGCTCAATGTACTAGAGATCTTTCTAACATGGAGTGTAAGAAATGTCTTGACGATGCTATTAATGAACTTCCAAGTTGTTGCAGTGGTAAAAAAGGAGCAAGAGTGGTGACTGGAAGCTGTAATGTTAGATATAAGCTTTACCCTTTTGTCAATGTGCCTAAAGTTAATTAGGCCATATATAAAATATAAACATACCATGGTCTTATTAGGCTATAAGAACAATGCCATGTATTAAATAATGGCCTTAAGGGCCAACCTTATCCATAATAAATAAGTACTTTGTTTGATTTGTATTGGCTTTCTTAAATCTTTTTTAAGTTATTTATTATATGGATAAATACAGAAAATACAGAAATCTTAAATATTTTTTTGAAGTCGTGGTATAAAAAGTAAAATACTGAAACAATATATATGGATAAAAAGGGAAACAAAAGAATTTGTTAAACTACATTTTGATACTCTTTATTATGAAACTTATTATACATATCAAATTCGACACACTTCAACTCCAATATCAAGCACAAAATTAAAATTTTACAATTTTACAATTTTTTATGCTTATTCAATACATTATCATATAGAGCTTAATTATTAATCAAAGTACTAACACAGAATTTCCTTTCGAGGAGGCAAACCTATTTACAAGAGCCAAAGCAACGCTTGTCAATTGAGCAACTTGTGTCATATTTTTCAGTACTATACTTTTCACTTCTCCATCCAAAACATCACCTGAAAATCCATCCATGCAAGTATTATCATCTGTTAAAGCTGCACTAACCCAAGTTTGAATGTCATTAATTACAGGATCAGAATTTGATCCTCTTGCTCGACCCATCTTTCCGATAGACCTTTCCAGCTCATCGACTGCTTCATCTGCCAGCTCCACACAATCTGCCATAGCTGCAGCCTCTTTAGGCTTCAATCCATGGAGTTTATTATTATACAGGGTTTTAATAAACTCTGATGCTGATTTGGTGGCTGTTAGAGTCACGTTAAGGGCAACATAGGCTAGAGTTTTAGGGTTTCTTTGAATTTTTCTTGCATAGCATGAAAGAGAGGAATAGCATAATTCAGGATAAGTTGTGTTACTACAAGATGCTTGTACGTACTGGGTATTTGTGTCTGCTGAGCTAAAGTTTATTTGGATAGAGAAGAAGAGAATAAAAACAGGTAATATTATTATTATTGCCACGCGAAGAGTTGGACCTTCCATAATCAACTAAAGTAATATTTCTCTATATTTTGAAGTTGTGATGTGTTCGCAATTTATATTAATTCGCCAAAAGATTAGGTAGAGGGGAAGTATATATGCAGGGAAGGCATTGGCTGAGGTGGGTGGAGATTGCGGAAGACTCATATGAACCGACGAGCATGTATAATTGCTTACAGTTTAAGAAAATATTATCTCAAATAATAATAAGATTACATGATTGATGGACAAAAATGAGACGATCAATCAGATCCTATTCACGTATAAGGTTATCAAGACATGATGATAAGGAATTTGGGGTCAGCAATACATTATATAGTGGTTGAAATATTCTTTTGTAATTTGCATTAAAAACAAATCAGTGTTATCTAAATTATGTATGTTATTATATGGGTAGCCACCTCAGTAATCAATAGTTATAAGAGATACGCAAGACAATCTCACTTGATACGGATTCTGGGAAGTTTATACATCTATTGTTGTCCTCTTGCAATCCTCATATTCCACCAAATTTTGATTATTAGCTAGTTGGCATGGTATCTCTATTTGATGAATCTCGAGCTCTGTTTTTGACACCAGTGTTTCCTAATGCATATAACAGGACAAATATCCATTTGATTTTAATATTTTGCTTAAAATACAGCATTATATCTATATTTATAATGATATCTGTTAAATAATAATAATAAAAGTTGCTTAAGCTACCTCTTTTTTCTTTAAAAATAAGTTGCTTAATCTATTTTGTTTAGTGGAAAATTGTGCTTCAAAAATAAATTTAGTCAATGAAAAATATTTTTTATTATAAAAAATATTTAATTTTTGAATTTATAAATGAATAAAAAAAGATAAACAAAATATAATCATTAATATGTTATATACTAATTCATTAAGAAGAAAAAACTAGCTAGACAAATAAATTAACTGAACTCAACTCATTTACAATTTGTTGCTAAAAAAAAAAGTACCTCCCATAGGCTTGAACTTGATTCAAGTAGTTTACGAATGGTTTAACTCATTTACTACTCTAAATTACAAGCTACTCTCAATTCTTACTAATAAAGATTACCTATTGACAGCCATCATTTGATTTAATTTCAAACTGAACGACATGCTCAATTATAGTAAAACAAAGGAGCTTGTTCGTACCGTCCGAATACTGTAATGAAATAGCCCACAGGAACGGCCCAAGCGCAATCAATCCTTAAAAGCGTCTTATATATCTACACTCTAATAGCTCCGTGTTCTTAGAAAAAAAAAAAAAGTTGGATATTTATTCTTTGTAGATGGTATAACCTTTTGTTCAATGACACTATCGTGCAATGTTTTCCATGTGACTAATGTCAGAGTCCTATTCGTTTTTCCATCTCCATATATTAATTAATGTCCCCGAGATTTTGCTTTGGGCCCTCCATTTATTTATTTTCATTTTCTTCGTAGTTGCTCCTCCATTGATGATGAGGGTACACTAGTAGTTGGGAATTCGTCCCCCAGCGTACAGTATCCACACTACCATCTACTGTGAAGAGGAGTAGTGGAACAGAAAAGATTGACAAAGGCAAAAGAAGAAAGAGGACAGGAAAGGAAAGGAAAACAACAAATAAATAAATAAAATATCAGAAATAAGCTATGTATATATTTTGAAACAAAGAAGAATTTACTAATTTACATCTTAACCACAAAACATTAAAGAAAATCTACATTTAACTACTCCGCTTTGTGCTTAACTCTCACTTACATAGACTTGTACGCACGGGCAATTTTATATATATGGCAAACCACTAATCAATAATTGCAAAAGAAGATAAGCCCAAAATAAATGAGAACTGAAATTCACTCCCTTTTTCAGCTCTCATGGGGAAGTGGGTTTCCCAAGAAAGTCAATTATACTTGTATATATATCACAAATAGATATAAAAAGACAATTATTATTGCAAATTGTTATGAGATGAAGCAAAATTATTGATGAGAGCTAAAGCATTACTAGTCAAATGAGCAATTTTCAGTAAGTGCTTTCTTGCAATAATCTTCACTTTTCTATTCATAGACACTTCAGAAAATCCATCCATGCAAGTATCATCATCTGTTAAAGCTGCACTAACCCATGTTTGTATATCATCTATTACTTGAGCAAACTTTGATCCTTCTGCTTGACCCATCTCCCCAATTGATCTTTGAAGCTCATACACTGAGTCACCAACTACCTCCACACAATCAACTAAAGCTGCAGCCTCTCTACGCTTTAACCCATGGATTCTTGACAGTCTCTTCATCAATCTTGATGTCGATTTGGTGGCTTTTAGGGTTACGTTAAGAGCAATATTGGTTAGCAATTTTGGGTTGGTCTTGATTTTGCTTGCATAGATTGAGAGAGAGTGGTAACATAATCTTGGATAGGTCGTGTTGGTGCAGGAGGTTTTGATGTACTGGGTGTTTGTGTTATTTGGTAATGGTTTAGAAGGTTCGATAGAATTTATGTGGGTAGAGAACTGGAGAGTGAGAATTGCTACTAGTGCATAGCATAAAAGAGAATTTGCTTGCATTGCTCTGTTTTCTTGGAGATTCTTTGAAAGGTGAATAAGGGAACTATGTTCTTAATTTGTGTATGAGAAGGAAAATAGAAGCTCATTTATAGAAATGCTCAGGCTGTGGCTCCCACGTAGTGGAGAAAAAAGCCTGACTTTAAGGCTAAATTAGGAGATTACGTCTACTCTTTTAGGGCAGGTTTAATCAAGATAAATAAAAATAATAAAATCTATTCCATTAGGAAATTTATCTATTTCTTGAATTTGCTCAAAGACACACCTTTTATAACTAAATTAAAGATTCATAAAAGAATAAAAACGTAGCATTAAGAATTGAAGTCTAGTAAAAAAAGTAAAGGGAAAATACACTAAACAATTGAATCAATCCATAGGATTACTTAATCTATTGTGATATTGAAGATTAAAGGAAAAGAACGATTTCAAACCTTGAGAGCATACAATTTATAGTTCTATGATTCTATCTTCCAAGTTATAGACTTATTAAATTAAGTTAAAGAACTTTCAAATCCATCTGTTATTAAATTTTTCCTCAGTTTTACATGTTTTAATAAGATCTGTAATTATCCGAATTAAAATCCCAAGGTCGTTACGGTTCAAACTTTCTGCGTTCCATTGGATAAGCAATATTGTCTGTAATGAGGGAATCTCGTCATCAAATCCAGAAAATAAGGATAAGAATCGATGAAAATCAGGAACAAAGCAACTGGTGTTTGAAAGTCATCACTTTGAAAGAAGAAGACAAACTATTAGTATATCAACATCTTTGTGAACTTCTCACAAATTACAATAAAACCCATGCACAAAAAAAATCTTGCACGTAATTAATAGCAAGAGCCATGGTTGGTCGACCTTTCTGTTCTATCCTTTTCTTGGATGTTTAGCTAAGTGAGGTGTTCGATCGAATATCTAGCGCTGAAATTTGAATTATCATAGTTAAGGAAAGATATGATGCTGTAGGTACTCAAGTTGTCTACAATGAAAACCTCGTTTAATGTGTGAAAAGAAATATCGTTCTTGTGGCCCTTGATGATATTTAATTCTTCAAAGATATTTTTCTATCTTTTATGTTAATTTTTTCCATGTGCAGAAAGAAAAAGAAAAAAGAAAAAGAAATAAAGATTTGAAAACTGATCTTCTCTATTATAATTGAGTATTAATATACTCCATTTTATAAATAAAAGATCGAAAACAAAAAGGTTTAAATATTTTCATATATAAAAACCTTTTGCTGTTGCTTCCGCCAAACCCATTAATATTTATTTTATAGTCCGTTCTATCTAATTCTAAACACTAAATATTTCGCGGAACGTAGTTGCAGGACAAGACGAGCAAAATGGTTTGAATGTTTTTAGTTTGTGTTATTAATTGAGCTTAAGCTCCATTTATGATCAAGATAATTCATTATTTATTGCTTTCTCTTTGTCAATTACAATTTTTTTTTTTTTTTTGGCATATAAGTTCAATTATTATAATACAATTTCTAAATTCAAAATTAAATGTTAATATAGGATCTCAAATATTTAATTTATTGTATTAGCAAATAAATCAAGATCTAACAAGTTTTATGGGTCTTCGGAATGAAATAAAATGTCGGTCGTATAGTGTCTGGAATAATAAGTTACAGCAAAATGGAAAAATTCATGTGAATTTGGCTTTACGAGGTATCTGCAATAAAACATTGACAAGTCGTTTTTAAACGTACTGGGATAATTGCGACTTGTCCCCAGAGGTCATTATGGCCTGGAAGTTCTTCTGGCGATAAGGTAGCATATAACCTTGGAATCTTTTTTTGTTTTTGCTATAAAATGCAAATCATTCGTGTCAAAGGGAGTTCCGTCTGCAGATTATATAATAAGTGATAATTTATTTATAATATTTATTAAATTGATGATAATTTTCATAATAAAAAAATTTTTTTTTTTTCGTAGAAGATGAAAATATAAATATGATCAAAAATTGAAGTTAATATATAATTTATTTAATAATCATTACACAATTTTTTTCTAGTGGATTTGAAAATGGATTGGTCAAATTGAGATTAGAGTTTTTTTTTTTTTGTCTAAAAAAATGCTATAATTTACGAACAAAGATTGAATGCGATTAAGAAAACAGAGAGCAAAGTAATTCTTTGGGATTGTTTGTTTTGGAGTTTGGATGTAAATTGGTAACAAATATAATTGACAGAGATATTCAAATCCATACTGATTGTGGTCCAGATATTTTGTTCCTAATAAATGTTTGAGAAGGGAAATTTTGGCGTCATTAAATTTGGACCGTCAAACTGAACAATCTCGTAGAATCTGGAATTCTTCCAGAACAAGGTAATGAATATCCAATTATCAATACAGTTGAGGGCCAATTCTAAAGCGTTCACAATTATTTTTCTATCCTTTCTTTCCTTTCACAAAGCAAGATTACATGTATGATGCTCAAATAAAGAAAGGGTCTCTCACTATTTTCCCAGTCTCCAATATAATATAATTAATTCTATTTAGCTTGATTTGAATTTTGAATCTCAACTTTTATAATTCGGTCGAATAAAAAATTAATCATTTAGAGCGGACAACCCCAAAGGCAGATTACAAGTCGGATTAAAAAATTCAATGATAGCATAAAATTACATCAACAATATTACATGATGAATGCATATTATGGGTACTTCCCAGGTTAGCCATTAGGTTAAGGTTTCGTTGGCGTCCATGTATAAGTTTATGTTTTTTAGTTGATTAAAAATATAAATATTATTTTTTATAATGTTCAATAATATAACGGTTAAGATAATATTTTATAAAATGTATAATTTTTAACTCTTATAAAAAGCTATCCAAACAGTTAAAATACCTAATAATTATTAAAACATCTATTTTTACCAAAGAGGCCTACCATCCATATCATTTGGCTCATATCTAATAATGCTGCAATGGTTAATATCTAAAACATGAAAGGGTCCACAACCCAAGTCATCCGTATTAATATGTGACGCTCACTTCGCTACATGTGGCCTCCCTCAGTTATTGCCTATTCTATTTTTTCTTTTTTCTGGGCAGTTGATTGAATCTGATAACAATATCCATGTTCCCAGACATTACTTTTATGGGGACTGAAAAGCTCTTTATCGCTCATTGTGTCAGCTTTCTTGGAAAGATTTCTAAATTAAAAAACAAAATAGAAGAAATGAAGATTGCTTTGCTTTGCTTTGCTTTAACTTTCGAATGCTTTTTGAGTGATTTTCACTCTCAACTCTTCGCTGCCAATTGGAGAACTTTCTAAGGATAATCTTTCACAGATTCATACATAATTAAATAGATGCATGGATAGCCTAAGAAGATAAGCACTATAAAAAGATGTCTTGTAGCTTCTTGTTTTATTAGATTCACACTGCTTTCTTACTCGCAAAATCTAGTAATATCAGATTGTGTCACTTGCCCGCTCACAAAGGCAGTCAAAAGGAAATGAAATTGTGCTAATAATAATCATTACATGTTGCTAATGATACTTAAGCTTTAATTGCTTTTTTTTTTTTTTTTTTTAATAATTAGCCCACATATTGTCCTCCTGGTGCTTCTCATGCCTACTCGAAAGGGTAGGTAATGGTCGCTCTAGCCTTCTAGGGACCAAGAAAGTAATCATCAATTAGAAAATTAAGTATTTCTAGATAATATAGTAATGCCGATTAAAAAGAAAGAAAAAAAAAAAAGTCACGATTATCTTGTAGTAGAGGACAAAGATTTAGGTAATAGTGTCACCCAACCAAATTAAAAGAGATAAATACGATTCATTTAACTCCATTATTTACACATGGGACATAAGGATCTAGGTAAGGTTCCGCAATCTATTGTTTTCCTGTAGACATCAATGGAAGCTTTTTCTTACACTTGCATTTGCATAGACAAGTTAACGAAGCTATAATCACTAATCAATCAACAAATCCTCAAATTGACTTAGAAAGAAAGAGATGTATATATATTGATCATGTTTAATTACTATTTTACAAGAAACAGAGCCACAGTTATCACACAACACTCATTTCAATTCATTTTGTGTTTACATTTACATATATGTAAGGTAGCAAACTTAGATTAGATGCTTGAAGACAAACCAGGCCAGCCAGAAACAAACTTTATAGTATCACACAGAAACAACAATCCACGAAGACAAAAATCTAAGGCTTTTCACCAGATGCAGAACTGCGGTGTCTAGATGCAAAGCGATTAACTAATGCAAGTGCATTGCTGGTGACTTTAACAACATTGGTAATCCTATGCTTAATGGCAGCCTTCACACTTCCATCCATACGACGGCCAGCAAAACCATCAAGACAAGTGTTTTCATCAGTTAATGCAGCACTAACCCAAGTCTGCACATTACTCATATGCCAAACAAAATCCTGACCAACAGCTCCACCCATATGGCCAAGCTCCTTGATTGACTGACTTAGTCTATCTACACTATCTCCCATATTCTCTATGCAGTCTTTCACAGCTTGATACTCTCTAGCCTTTATTCCTCTAACTTTAGTTAATGTAGTTACATAATCAGTGGCTGATTTAGCCCTTGCTAGACTCACTGACAAAGCAACTTCAGCTAAATGTTTTTCATTTTGTTGAATCGCGCTAGCATATCCTGATAGACACTCAACGCATAAATCAGGATAGCGTGTTGCCTTGCACGAGGACTTGATGAAGTCTGTGGGACTAGAGCCAGACACTATCATGCCAGCCATGTAGAGAGCAAAGGAGAGAAGTATTAAGGAAAGGACAAACCTTGCCATGGATTCTGAAGGATGGGAAATTGGGAATAGTCCAAATGGAATGAATAATGAAAGCAAATGAGTAAATATATAGAGAGAGTTAAAAAGGGTTGTTATCTGTCTTGTCCTAGAATTAGATAAAAGAAGTCACATGCCCATACCTTCTTTTCTGTCTCCATGATTCTTTGCTCCCTTTGGTCTTCTTTCTTTATGAATGTCATTGAGTCATTCTTTTCCATTATCCAGTGGCAAAGAATTGAAATTTTCCAATTTTTTACTTTTTCCTTCAAATACTCTGCGGCTGCCTAATTAACGAAGGCATTTGTATGTATTATGTATGTGCACGTGCGACATGCCTAACCTCTAAGATGTGTTCAGTGGACTTAAACGCACAAAGTCAGGTCTAATTTGGTACGAAAACACAATAAAAGCAAAGATTTGGCAAACAAGCAAGATGAATGATGAAAAGGCCAGCCAGTGGTCTAAACAAATTAGCATGACAATACCCGCTAAAATGCTTTGATCTAATCAAGTTGTGACTTCGATGCAAGCCATTTGACAGTAAAAACTAACATTCAGGAACACAAATTTTTATTTTCTTTAAATGAGCATTTAATAGTAACATCCTGCTCATTGAGATCAGTAAGGCCACGAAGAGGAATTTGCGGGATCATAGACCACAAAAACTGAAAATGAATATAACTTCAATATATAAATATAAATGCACAAATATACATGATGGTTCTGGATGGTTCTTAAATTAAATAAACATACTTGATGATATAATCTACCAATTTATTTCTACTGTTTCAAGAGTAAACCATCAAAATACATATCCTTGTTTTATGTCTATCAAGTCACCCAACAACCATAAGCAATATAATATAGCAACAGCCATACAATTTGCATTTAGATATCGACTATGAGGTCAAGATTTTCAGCCAGCAGGAACTCCACTATTGATGATGCTAAGTGCTAATGCATTTTAACCAACGGTTACACGCTGCAATATCTTAAGTATATCAAATTTGCAATCCCAAGTAACTCAAAAATTGACTTCTCCTTTTAAGAGCATATAATAATTTAATGTGCTGGCCCACTTTCCGATCATACTCCTTGATACAGCTTATTGATAATATTGCACCTTGGTTGGGACCTATAGAAGTCTTCTTATTTATCATTTGAATGGAGAAGTTTTATTTTTTTTAGATAGGAACTAGGGGGCAAGTGAGATGCTACTCTGACCAAAGAGACGAAAGGCTTCTCTCTTTCCCACAGTTAGATTCTGAATCAACTTAAGGTAGCAACTCTCTACAAACAAGTCGGCCTACAAATGAAACACGGTAAGGTCCACTAGATAGTGCTTGGAACTTGACGCCTTTTAAGTGCTGTTCAAGTGAATGCACTCCTTCTAACAATTATTGCTCAAAAAGGGCTCCACTACACCTATATTATGAATGCATGATGCTATGATGGTTTGGAAATCTAAAACATAGTCTCATCAGGCTAACGAAATGAATCTTAAACTGGATGAAGTTCAACAAAAACTTTTAGCAAAAATTTCGATTCAGTACCATAACCAATCTAGTGTTGGGATAACAATGTTCCTGAGCACGCGTAAAAAACTGGTCATGAAAGCAAGACTCTATACTATACTCCATCTACCTCTCTCAACTTTTTGACTCTGAAATTTAATTTAAACCAATGAATACTAGATTTGTGATTATCCTCAATCGGAGCAATCAGCAGTGCGTCCAACTTGACAGAGGCGATATTATTTACCACTGCAGTGCTAAACTGTCATGTACTTGAGCACAGCTGCCCGAAGCTTTTCCATGAAAGCTGCTGCGTCTTTCTGCAGGATACAGATAAAGCTCGATGTAAACTTTAGCCATTCAAATAAATTGATACAGCTTATCGATAATTGACCGACTAATGAAAAAATAGAGTGCATCTTCCCCATATGGAACATTGTTTTGCTTGGTAAACTGATGGGAAGAGGAGTGCCAATAGCGAATTTCATATGGAACAGCACTGTTTTTGTTCTTTGCAGAGACAATTTTCCTAATAACACTAGCACACTCTTGAATTAAGTTCCCCATTAATTCAACAGGAAAAATCACTCAGATATAACCATTAATTAATTACTTCTTTGTCTTTGTACATTCTCACTTTTATTTTGTCCAATGCTGTTTCTTATAGGGGACATCTTAATTATGCACTTAATGCGAATACAGGAAAATAGGAAGAGTAAATTGGCTTCCATTGATCAACAATTTTCGAACACAAAGCATAAAAATATTCTTGATTCTGTATTAAGTCAAAAAAGGTAGTCACCACTCTATATGAATCAGAAAATGGTTAGACCAGATTCTGTATAATGCACAAAAGAGCACTGAGAGGACTAAATGCAGAAAAAATAGTACTTGACACTATAAGAAGCAAAAAGAAATTGACTCAAATCTGCATGAAGCACACAAAGAGAATTATTTCTCTACATAATACAAAAGGGAAGGCTGAATTCTGTATAAATTACAAAATAAGTATGCAGTTCCCATAATCAGCTGACCTACACTACGTACACTCTCGTTTCATAATTTCCTCAGGCCATCAAGTCGTAATAATGCTCCGGCCAAGAATCATCACTTACCACAGAATACTCAAACAAACAAACCCGTAACTTCTTTCTATTTGATTCTTACAGGCAACTTTTCTCAAGTTACTGAAACTTTACTTTTGTCCATATTATCAGGTTCATAAATTATACTAGACTATGGACTACTCAGCAATCAAAATTTTCAAATCAAGTTACAACTGAGATCAAGATTTCTTTTGCCAATATAAGAGTAAGAATAAGTTGACTGAATAGCTTTTTTCTCAAGCATTCATCATGCCTTGAGAGCAAGCACAGATCTCAGTGATAGATAGATTTCCATCTTTAATTAACTGAACATAAAATTTCATCAACCAAAGGATAAAGTATTAGTTTATTATTGTATTGTTACTCAAAAGACATCTTATTTACTACTTATGTTACCACACTCTCTTCCCAAAGAAAGGAGGATTTGTGATGTATTACATTCTACCCAGTGTGTGAAAAAGCAGAAGGCTGAAAATCAGTAATATCATTAGCAATGCTTTCGGGAACTAAAAGCAATGTTAGTCTGCACAGGAATTCTAATTTTAAACATTAAGTTAGCACACTTTCTGCAGTCCACACTGAACAGAAAGAGAAGCAATTCCATTGCAGATGGTGGTACAGGCAGAAGAATCCAAGTAGAATTTTTACGAAAGACTAACAACCATCCAAGAATAAGTAAAAATCAAAAGCTTGGAGCTAACTTAAATCTTGAAGAAAAACTTCAATGTGAACTGTCAAACTATAAGTGACGGATGGAAAGCATGAGAGAGATATACCCAGAAAAGATTAAATCCCCTTGTATTATGCAAAAAATAAATGAGAATAGCTAACACACTCAAAAAATTTCAATAAAAATAATTATTACTGAATTTTTTTAATAATAAAAGTAATGCAACAGGTAATACCTGGTTACTTTGGTGGGCACTTGCAATATTCTCATCAAGAAGAGTCAACAAGGATCTGTTGATTTTATTTTGCTCAACCATCTCCAATAACTAGCAAGGGCAGACAAGGCCATATAGTCAACACAACAAGAAGCATAAAAATGATAAACTATATAAATTAAGGACTGGATGAATGAAAATAACAATGCATACAGTTGCTTTTACATCCTTCGATGTCAAGATTTCAGTTAAACTTTTCCTTGCATTTACAAGATCAACTTGCATTTTATCATAGGCTTCTGTAACGGAACAATAAACTAGGATGCATTAGTTCGTAGCCAAAAAAAAAAGTTGAATTCTTATAAGCAACAGTTTGCCGAGATGAAGGACCTGTTCCTTCCTGCAGAGCCTTCTGTAATGCCTCCAGCTCAATCAATCTGTCCTCCATATCCTATATAAACCATCAGATTTAATAAAGTCACTTTGTTTGGTTATGCAAATAGAATCCAACTCTAATATGTAATTTGAGGAGCAAACCTCTGTTCTTGAAACAGCAAACCGAAGCTGCCCAAGTTCAAATTCTATCTTCGAGAAAAACTCCTTATTCAATCTGGAAAATGCACGTGTTCAAATGGCAATAATACAATTGTAAATTCTAATATTAAAGAACAAAAACAAATTGATTCGCAGTGAGAGTAAATGCCTAAATGGCAATGCTACAGAGAGCGGAACCACACTTGTAATTAATCACGTGGACAGTGCAAAATATTCTTTCCTTTCTTTGCAGATGATTTTAGCAGACAACAAAGGCATCCATCAAGGAAAAAAACTCCAAATAAGTGTAAACTAGGAAGTAGAAGCCATTAGTTAGATATGTATAAATTAAGTTGGAAGAGGCAAACTGTCAAACACATTGTCTACCTCAGAGGAAGTTAAAGGAACTAACCTCGGCCTCATCCTGGCGATTTCAAACTCAATGTCCTGAGCCTCAGTGTCGAGAAAGTACTCAATAAGCTCCGCCGGAGTATCCGGAATTATCCGAGACTAATACAATAAAAAAAAATTATTAAAAAACGAACAATCACGTAAAAATAAACGTTGAGGAGGTTATTCATATATAAATTTACTTCGCGAAGAGCTCGGCGACGCTCTTTCTCTTCGCGAACTTGTTGCTCGAAAGCTTCACGAGCCTCGGCGTCTCTCTCCAGACGTCTTTGAAACTCGCGCCGAGCGAGATGGCCCGTCTGTGGAGGACCAAATACGCCCTCTGGATCCTTCCTTCGCAGAAAATGATTAAAATCATAAATATTAATCAAAAAAACAGAGAAGGAAAATTAAACTGTAGGATTTATTAGGATAGGTACCCAACCGATGCAGGAGATTCGAGGCCTGCGAGCGGTTCTCGTCAGTGGCCTTGCACGGAAAGTGATGGTGGTGGAGGTGGCGATGCCAAGGTTAAGAGCGGCCATCGGTGGCCCTTATGGAAGCTCTGGTAAGTAAGTAAGTATAGCTTTCTGCAATTAATAGTAACGTCTGTTATCCGTTTGGAGAGTTGTCTACGGCTATTCATTCCTATGGCAATGGCATTTCTGCGCTTGGCGGGAATTATAACCGTCCGATATTTTACATCTTCATTGGCAGTTGCTAGCTCATCTGAACCGTCGGTGTGAAAAAATATGGACTGGCCCACATAGTTCTGTAATGGGCTTCAATAAAGGACAATTCATTGTCTGGAGGATCTCAAGCCCAACTTAAAGTTACAAGCCGAAATAGGCTAAGCTGGTTGTTGGAACAGAAATCTTCCTGCTATTTGACTTGCATCAATGAACGACTCTGATACTGTTTTCTCAAATCTATACCAAATAATAATTAAAATTCCTTGACATGTTGTTTCTTCAATTTTAATACGTTTAAATTTTTTTTCCAATATCAAATACAACAGTTGTGAATTTTAAATAAATTTAATAAAATTCATAGCTAATAAATTCGTAGTTTTTTGTGTTTTTGCACACAAGAGTTACAAGATAAGATATCTTTGCCCTTTCAAATAATTCTTACCTCCAAACTTGATTTTCTAATATAAAAATTGTTTCCATATATTTCAAAAACTTTTTAACAAAAAAAAGTGTCAAGTTAATTTAAATTTTCATCTATTATAGCGTAAAAACAGATGGTTGATGGTTGAATTACTAATTCGATAGCTGTATTTTTTAAATTTCATTTATAAATATAGTTTCTTTTTGTCCTTTTATAAAAAAAGCTCTCTAATCCACTAAACTCAATTAGGAATATTAATTAAGAGAGAAAGACTTACAAACACTCTGTATATGAAACCATTTAAATACCAAATCAATTTTAACAGTATTTCGTTTTAAACGAAAATATTTATGATCATACACTAAAAAAGAAAAATAATAATATTTTTTAAAAAAACTAGAAATTTCCTAATTAAAATATCAGTCAACATCTCATATAATTGTTTTTCTACTTTCACATATATACATTGCTTACAAGCATTGGAATGTTAAGATGAACAATTCCTATAGGTAGCTTATTAAGAGAACCAAGCCAAAAATTGAGTTCAGACATACTTTTCCCACTCTTAACTTAACCACAAAGAAGCAATTATCCAACCATACACATGCATTATTATTGACACCATCAAGCTAAGATACAAAAATTCTCCTTATTAAACTCTATCCATTCACAATAGCACTAGGCTAATTTGTTCCACTTCTTCAGGCCATTCAAATTATCAAATAGAAGACAACAAAGGACAGCTTGGTGACCCAATAAATATCTTACTTCAGTATTTTATAAAGAAAAAGTTGCCCCTAAACTTGGAAACAATTTACAATTTGCCGAAGAATCATTTTTTTTTTTTTTTTTAATCATTTTTTTTTTTTTTTATGTAACTTAGCCTTGAAACCACGCCAAACGAGCAAAAAAACACATTTAAAAAAATCCAAATTTTTTATTTTGTTAAAATTTTTTGATTTAAATAAAAAATAATTAAAAATGTGAATATTTATTTAAAACAAATTTTTTTTTTTTTTTTATGTAACTTAGCCTTGAACCTACGCCAAAGAGCAAAAAACACATTTAAAAAAATCCAAATTTTTATTTTGTTAAAATTTTTGATTTAAATAAAAAATAATTAAAAATAGTGAAATATTTTATTTAAAACAAATATTCAATATAATCACATATTCTTATAATCTTATAATTTTTTTTAAATGAAATATTTTGTTTAATTACATTGATTAATTAAAAACATAAATTGCTTTCTTAATTAATAAAATTGGAGCAATTATTTGAAGCCCCACATGAAAACATCGGTCCCCACTGGCAGCATGGTTCCTTATATCGCGCCATGTAATGTGATGTCTAATTTAACAACTCAAAACTGCTTTTTTAGTTTCAAAAGAATGTCCATTTCGTATATGTGCCAATAAGCGAAATGACTCAATATTTCTATTTCTAGGTTTTTTCATTTGAGGGAAATGTAAATCTCTTTCCAATTGCTTGTTGATTAGGACATTTCGGAATGATTTTATAATTAGAGAGTAATTTGATTAGTTAATCTTTCAATTTCCTGGATAAATTATATACTCATTTATATAATCGATAAAGACACAATAATATTATTCAGACTTATTTAATATTGAAAATAAAATTATCTCAGTATCAAATTACAATGATTAAACACAATTATTTAATATCATCTCCTAAGCTTTTAATAAAATTTGAGTTTACAATCTTCAAATCCCAAATCTTAATTTATTTTTTACCATTTGGACACGTTTTGCATATATATATATAAAACCAAATTCCGTTGCATTTTCTATATATACACAACAATATGAATTAAAATTTATACTTTACAAAAATATATTTATTTCTCAAATCCTTATAGATCATTTTCATTATGTTTTTTGGGCCGAACAAGAAAATGATATCTTTTTACTGATAAAAAGATGAATTATTTATATTTTTGTTGGCATTAATTCAACAAAACACAGAGACTGGGCAGACGCATTTGCTGACCCATTGAGATAGATAATTGATTAATATTAATAATATTGTGTGAACGTGACTTTGCAACAACAAAAACTATTCAACAACAAAAACTATTAAATGAAGATTTCAAAACGATAGAGTAGTACCTGCTTTCACACTCCACAACTCCCATGTGATCTTATGCTTTGTTGTTTTGTGATATCAAATTATACTGCTGACATAATACATTTTATATTAATCCATTATTTACAATAAATAAATTTTATGAAATTTATTTATAAATTCAAAGAATCTAACTTCAATTTAAAGTTTGGAAAATTCAAACTTATACATATCACTCTTTGAGACCCATATACTATCTTGCAACAAGTAAATTTATTAGTAATGTAATATTATTTTATGATACGATTTTTCTTACTGAGTCAAAATTGATTTTGAGACCCATATATCTTATCTTTGGTTATGTTTCTGAGAATGTCAGTAGGTTCCTTCCACGGTCAATTCGTCGCCCAAATCAATTTTTCAACACGCTATTTTTTGTCTCTTGGTTCTTTTAGTTTATTTTTGGTTCCAAACTATGACTTGACTTCATAGCTAACAAACGATAAAATAAAATTATTCAAGTTATTGACAATTTAATGTATACAAATATCTAAATAAATATATAAACGTTCATTTTTAAGTTTCGAGGCTATTTTTATTTATATATTTTTTTTAATATGCAGACCCTAATCTTATGAAGGTCTTGACATACTATTTTAGCAAGTCCTTATAAATAATAACTACTCAATTCACAAGTTAAAAAGTCTAAGTTGTTCAAAGAAGTACTAATTATTTATGTGGCGAACGACACCACTTTATAATTATTCTCACCCGACTGATAGTGAGGGAGGACAATTAGAAAGTTGTTGGGAATTATGGTATTAAATTTGGGAATTGATATTTGACAGGGCTAATAATGTAATTTGGAATTAGAAAATTTGATTGTTTAGTTTTAACATTGAAGTCAAATGGATCTAGAAATAATGAAGTTAAATAATTGTAAGTCATGAATAGCCATTTTCTTTATCAAGCAAACAAAAAAGTCCGCAGCCACCGTTTAAGAAACACTCCACGTCTCCACGTCAATTCATAAATTTATTTTGGTACTACAATATTAAAATATTTTTCCTAAGGAAAACACTAATTAAAAAATAATTTTACCCATCTAACCACTTATTTAAAACAAACATGAAAAAATAGAAATTTTTTTTTTAAATGTGAAAAAATACAATTCTTTTAAAAAATAGACATTGATGATATAGTTATTTCCAATAACTATCAAAAAAAATTGAAAGGAAATGAAAATTTACCATATTTTACTTCATTATGACAAGGACCGTGATTTGATTTAATTTGATAAATTCTTTTTAAAATTTACTTTTTGGAATGATTTCATATAAAATTTTATTTTACTTGTAAATGAATTTTATTAAAAATATAAAAGTTAGCATTAGCTATTTATATTTATAATCCATTAGTTTTAGTAGCTTACACCTTTTTAAATTAATTTTAAAATTTTATCGATTTCGGTAAGATTTGATCAAAGTGTAAACAATCTCCTTGCTGTTATTGTCCCTGCCAACTAATGTCCAAGGCTTGATACTCACACCGTCGCTGCAGCTGTGTTTCTTCGTCCTCTGGGCTTGACAGTGGAGAAAGAGTGAAGTGGAAGTGGAGCGTTTGTTTCCGGGGATACAAATGTATTTATTCCCATTATGGCTACTGTTTTGCTGGTGTTGTGGTATATCCATGATGCATTTCATCTGAGAAAATATTATTCCTTTGTTTCTAGCTAGAATTTATACTTACAATGCACATGAATTGTTTAAAACTTATGTTTCGTTGAGGCACAGAATTTGGGTTTGCCCAAGCTTAGTTTTGGTTGAAGCTTAGGCCTTGATAATGAAGGCAAAAAGGACGTAAAAGAATCATAGAACAAAGAAAATGGAGACAAGTACATGACATTTGCAATTTTTTCCTTCTTTCCTTGCTATTCATGTTCACAATTTTGAGGTTCATACTAATTCATATACATATAAGAATTTTTTTTTCTTTTTAGTATCTAAATTTGAACATACTAACATTATTAATACTATAACATTTTACTTGATAATGGTTATTTTTAATAATTAAAATTTGTCTTTTGCGTTAATGGGTGCTCCCCATCAAATTATATTAGTTTGAAATAAATGGGGAGGAGGAGAAGTATACTAACCTTCTGCCAGTGACTTTATCATGGCTCCGCAGGAGAAAAAAGAAAATCTAATGATATCTATATAAAGATTTTTAAAATTTAATCATATTTTATCTATTCACATATAATATTTATTAATATTTTAATTTTAAAGTTTGTATGTTTTGATTTTAAATGAATTGAAAATTTATCTAAATGCATAAATAAAAAAAAAGTTATAAGTTAATGGAGGTCTAACAAGTGTGGTGTATAATATATAATAACCGAGCAAAGTGCGGACATTTTCTTAAATATATTTCATATATGTACGTATACTATTTCTTTTTTAATGAAATCTTTTATTTGATTTCTTCTAAAAAAATTCATAAAAGATATATTTGTTTATCCGAATATAAATGTTTTAAATTTGACTATAGAAATTCAAATATGAAAAAACGTGTCTAAATTAAAAAAAATATACTTATTAGTATTTAGAGCATGTTCGATATTAACATGGATTGTGACTGATGTGTCATTTCAAATAAAATGTGTGAATGATAATATGGTTGAATGTCTACTTATAGACAATGAATTTTAAAAAACTCTCTCGAATGCATTATTTTTGAATCTTCTTTTATTTCTTTTTCCTCTCCTTGGGCCACAATTTAATATGTAATTAATTAACAAAGAGCAATACATATTAAAATTGTCTGAAAGACTCTAGAAATAAAAGGTATATTAGACTATGTCTATTTATATTTTTGTCATATCGCTTAACATCATAAATAAATATTAATATTAGAAAGCATTTTTCAAAAGATTGTTCCATTTATTTGATATGATAATTAAATAAAAGCTCTCCGCGTCTGGAAAACAAGGACCAGTGTATTTGTATCTATGGAAATGACTTAATTGCTACTTTTCAGCTTTCTCTTTTATTATTATTATAAGAAAAACAATCATTTTCCAGAGCAGTTATATTATATATAGACAGAGATAGCAAGTAACAAATACAAACGTGTCCCACACACACCAACCCTCTCTCCCTCTCTTCTTCTTCACGGGCAACTGAAAAGTCACAGGCAAAGAGATGGCATCCTTGACCATGTCCACGGCGGCGATGATGGTGGCGATCCTTTTTGTGAGCACCACCACAATCATAACACAAGCGCAAAATATCCCATCTTGTGCCCAGAAACTAATTCCATGCGCCGAGTATATATCAAACACCACAGTCACGCCTCCCTCTACTTGCTGCAACCCCATCAAAGAAGCAGTTAATACTGAGAGGGCTTGCCTCTGCAATCTCTACAATACACCTGGTTTGCTTTCAGGCTTTGGTATCAATGTAACTCAGGCTCTCGGTCTCACCAAGAGATGTGGGGTTAGCACTGATCTCAGCGCTTGCAGCAAAGGTAAATTTTCAAATTTTTATTTCTGTTTAGGTCCTTAGGATTTTATTTGATTTGAATTTGTTTGTGGTAATTAAATTTGAAGATTCATATGGGTACAGGGGTTGTGGGTTTGGTAAAGTTAAACTCTGACCATTTGTTTGGAAGGAAAATTTGGAAAAATAAAATCAAAGTTTCAAACACATACTTTGGAAATTAGTGAATGATGAATCATGTAATTAATTTTTTATTTTAATTTTCTATATGTGATTTCTGATTAAAATAAATCCCTTCTTCAGATTTACTTAGGGGTTGTGTACTAACATTTACTTTATAATTATACTGTTGCAGCTGAAGCACCAACTGCTGGCGCCGGAACGCCGCCCCCAGGTAAAATTCAACTGATCAACTCTGATGCTGGAATTAATTTTTCAATTTTTTAAAAAAATTTTAATTTAACTTATTGGCTTTTAAGTTCTTAAAATGGCTAATAAACCAATTAATTACTGGAATATGGCGCCCGTGAAAAATGAAATATGAGGGAGTGGGACAAGCTCGTAAATGATGTTTTTCCTGTGAATTCTCAATGGTTTTTTTTTTTTTTTTTTTTTTACCTGGTTGCACGGGATAAGACCACACACCGCACCTGCTGGGCGCCGGGCACGCCGCGCCCCTAGGTAAACAGAATATTCCAGAGCTGGATCAACTCTGTATGCTGGAATTAATTTTTTTCAAAATTTTTTTAAAAAAAAATTTAAGATTACCATTATGGCTTTTAAGTTCTAAAAAAGGCGTAAGTAAACCCAATGCTACATTTACTGGAATATGGCGCCCGTGATAAAATGAAAATATGAGGGGGAGGGTGGACATAGCTGCCGTAACTGAGTATAGTCTGTTTTTAGTACGCTGAGCATTATTGAATCTTCAATTGGTGTTTTTATTGTTATTTTTGATCTCTTCTGAAAGGGATATAACTAGCATTGCACATGTTTAGACTGAAAATAAAAGAATACACCGGAACTAAAATGGTAGAGAACCATTAGGATCAGGATTTTAATAATATTAATTCAACTAATATTAAATTTAAAATTAAAATAACTTAAACAACTAATGTAATAATTAATTATTAATTAAAAAAATAATTAAACAAACAATTTAAATATTTTCTAGTTTTTTTTTTTTTTTTTTTTGAAAGGTTGCATCGCATTTATGACTGAAAATAAAAATACCACCGACTAAGGTAGAGACATTATAGTGTTTTATAAAATATTAATTCACGTAATATTTAATTTTTAATTAAAAATAATTTAAACAATTAAATGTAATATTTAATTTTTAATTAAAAATAATTTAAACAATTAAATATTTCTAAAATAATTAACGGTTATTAAAATAAAACAATTAACTATGGGTAACAGCACCTAAATATTTGGTGTATTTGGAACCGAAAAAGTATTTATTCTAGTGAAAGACTTGGGCGGCAGAACTTGCATAGTTTAAGCCTTAGGATTGTAAAAGTGGGACTAGGATGATGAGCCATGGTATGCTAATTTTTTGGGGCTTTTGGTTGCTTTCGGTGCCACAAATTTTGACTTTTAATTCTGTCTACCGAACACATGGTTTGAGCTAATACATTGCTTATCATTTTGTCTCCATGTGGCTACGCTACTGCTAAGGAGCAATAATTCTCAACTGAATCCACAAAGACATTGGCTTAAGCCATTATTTATTAACATATATATATTTTTTTATTTTTAACATCGAGCTTCAATAATGTAACAGTGGGAGGAATTGTTTTGTTTACAGGAGTACCTGGAAATGATGGCAGCAGGATGGCATGGACTGGCTTTTCAAGCTTGGTCTTGTTATGGGCTTCTTATTCTCTAATTTACTAGGCCATCTACATTAATGTTCTGAGATGATTATTTATTAGTAGAGTGTTATGATGGCGTGATCATTATTCATGTATTAGCGAGATATATATATGTATTTCCCCATTTGGAGATTTTTTGTGGTTCACTTATTTCGTTTCCTTTTCCTTTGTATCTCATTGATTTTTTACCTATTGAACTTTATATATAGCATTTGGTGTTTTGATCTTTATTACAATTGTTATATTGCAACTTTGAATAACCAAATTCTTTACCCAAAATAATTAAAAAGTTAAAAGAAAAATCTCACACATAAAAATGAAATAATATGTCTTTTGGTATTGGTACGAATTGGTTTGAATAGAAGGAGCTTGATTATTTTAAGCAAGTGATTTTGAGTTTGATTCGAGTTTTGTGCATAGTGAAAATTCATTAATAAGTCAGCAATTAAACTGTCAATCGCTCATTTGGTAGCTAGGCTAGCTGATTTCGTTTACGAGGAGTAAATGAGTGAATGATGTTCTTCTGCATGATTTAAAATTGTGTTGTTTGGCGACGATTGTTTAAGCAGCTTCTAGCATTTTGATTAAGCGTTATTTTTTATAATGTTTATCCACATAATATTTATTTAAATTAACTTTTAAAAAGTTAATTTATATAATATTTAATTTTTAGTGTTTATAAAATGCTACTCAAATAACTAAACTTTACTAAAATGCCAAAACAAAATAGGTAATTTTGGTTTGTCGCCGGACAAACCGTAATTCAACTTTTGTAAACAAATCCTTCTCAGGAATAGGCCATAGCCCAATTTGATGAAGGTCCAATCTGATATTTGATCAATCCAATCCGAATTGGACCTGGTCCATCACTGATCAACAGATTGATCCACCACCAATGCTTAGCAGTATTTTCTTTTTTTTCGTAAAGAAGGAAAATGTAAAGCCCGTGCCTATCCGATAGAAAGAAGCTACTAGAAGATGCCAAACGATTCGTCGAGGTCCTATACTCGTCTCCTCGTTTTCTTTTCTCGGAGAAAAGCATTATAAACCCCATCCGGCACATAAGCCCTTTTTCTGCCATTTCTCAATCAGAAAAATCACTTTGATCAAATTCAAATGGACGCAACTAAACTGAATGAACTCAAGCTTTTCGTCGAACAGTGCAAATCCAATCCCTCCATTCTCAGCGATCCTTCCCTCTTATTCTTTCGGGACTTCCTCGAGAGGTAATATTTTATTTTATTTTTCTAATTTTTCATGTCTATCACAGTTTCAGTCTCTATTTCTCATGATTTACCTTTCTCTTATTTCTTTATTGTTTTAGTCTTGGCGCTAAGCTTCCTCCCTCTGCTTACAAGCAGGGTGACTCCAAGGTACTGTTATTGCCCCTTTTCTTCTCCCGCTTTCTGTACTTTTTTTTTTTTTTTTTTATGCTATTTGCTTCTCCGCTTTCGTACTTTTTTCCTTTTTTTCTTCCCTTTTTTTTTTTTTTTTTGTGCAAATGAATGTTTAATTGATATGTATTTTGGCGATGCTAAAGAGCTATGTGGTAGAGGAGAGCGATGACGAAATAGAGGATAAGGAAGAGGCACGAGTAGAGTCTGAAGAGGAAGAGGAAGAAGATGAGATAATCGAATCAGATATTGAGCTCGAGGGCGAGACTGTTGAACCTGATAATGATCCTCCTCAGAAGGTACTCTTTAGGAATTAAAACGTCTTTTATGTGCGTTTCATTGAGTGTAGTTTATCTTGTCTAGTATTGGTTATGGACATTGGCTGTTTGCAGATGGGAGACCCGTCTGTTGAGGTCACAGATGAGAAACGCGAGGCTTCGCAAGAGGCAAAGGCCAAAGCCATGGAGGCCATCTCCGAAGGTATTGTAATGACCGCTCTGATGGATGCTTATGCTTCATTTAGAATGTTCCATTTGATATGGTTCATTTCTTTGTTCTGAATATGGCGGTTCTCTGCAATGCAGGTAAATTGGAGGAAGCAATTGAGCACTTATCAGAAGCAATTTCTCTCAATCCTACTTCGGCAATTATGTATGGGACCAGAGGTAAATGTTTATTAGTAGTTTAGAAGTTTAGGTTTTGTATAGCTTGGGGTTTATGTGTGGATTATCGTTTTTATTGTTTTGTGTGAATATGGCACAGCTATCGTTTACGTCAAAATGAAGAAACCCAATGCTGCCATCCGAGATGCCAATGCAGCTCTTGAGGTTTTTGCCTACCCATGCACCATTTGTTTCTGTCTTGTTTTCCCCTTTTTTTTTTTTTTTTTTTTTTTTTTTTTTTTTTTTTTTTTTTTTTTTTCCATGTTAAGCCTAATATTTAATAATTATTTATGAATTAAAGTGACGGTCGGTAGTCTGCATACTTATGAGTGGAAGCTGCAATTCCATAATTGTATTGCTTTTCAGAATATAACCCAGATTGCAGCTAAGGCCGTTACAAGTCTCGCCTGCGCATAGCCCGAGCCAATGCTTGGTCAGTGGGAAGAAGCTGCTTTTTTTTTTTTTTTTTTTTTTTTTTTCCAATTTAAGTAATATTTTAATATATTATGAATAAAGTGACGGTCGGTAGTCTGATACTTTGAGTGGAAGTCTGAATTCCATAATTGTTGTTTCAGATTAACCCAGATTCAGCTAAGGGTTACAAGTCTCGTGGCATAGCCCGAGCAATGCTTGGTCAGTGGGAAGAAGCTGCTAAGGATCTCCATCTGGCATCAAAGTTGGATTATGATGAAGAAATAAGTGCTGTACTCAAAAAGGTCTTTTCTCTCTGATGTGCGCATGTATATTAATTTGTTTTTATCGATATACACTTAATAAACAGATATGTTAATTCCTGTTCAAAATTTCAAAATGATTGCAAAATGTTTGATCCTGAAGCAGAAACAGCAATATTCTGCTCACATGTATGTGCTCCATGTGGTCATGTACTGGGAAGTGGAGCATGCAACAGGCGGTGATCCCCATCCTCCCTCCCTTTTTTTTGTTGTCCTGGCCGTGGTTAATGATAGAAGATAACTGCATTATCAAATATCCACTTTTCAGTCTTTGGCTAAAATTGAAAAATGTTGAGATTGAGATATTTTTTAGTTTGAAGTTCATTTTTTTTGATTAACTTTTATGTACAATTTATCTGCAGTCAGCTATACAGCTTAATAGTAGATTATCATTTAGGTTAACATGGCGAGACATTGTCCAGCACTCAATTGTTCCTCTTTTAGTTTCCATTTTTATAATTTGGTATTTGGAATTTCAATGGCATTATTAAGTTGGAAAAAAAAAAGGAAAGGAGGATCTTGCCAGTTTAAATCTTAGCTGCGTGGATATTGGATTGTTTCCAAAGAATTAAGTTGATTTGTTTTCAAGTGCCAAATTGTTGGCTTTTATTGATTTATCTGTCATGCAAAAGTGAGAGCTTCATTGGCGGATAACATTAGTCTGAGATCTCACTGCAACTAATTTACTACATAGGTTGAACCCAATGCACACAGGATTGAGGAACATCGTAGGAAGTATGAAAGGCTGCGCAAAGAAAGAGAGGATAGAAAGATTGAATGTGAGAGACAACGTCGACGTGCCAAAGCTCAGGTAGCTATAATCCCGTCTATTGTTCAACTGTAACACATTTCATTGCTATTTTTTTTAATGCATGATGCTTATTTTATTGAACTCTTTTTAAAGGCCGAATATGAGAAGGCAAAGAAGCAAGAGCAATCATCTTCCAGCAGAAGACCTGGAGGTATGCCTGGTGGAATGCCAGGAGGAATGCCTGGTGGCTTTCCTGGTGGAATGCCAGGAGGGATGTCTGGAGGAATGCCTGGTGGAATGCCTGGTGGAATGCCTGGAGGTTTCCCAGGTGCCATGCCTGGAGGGATGCCAGGAAATGTGGATTTTAGTAAAATCTTGAATGTAAGTGTCTCTGGAGGTTTGTACTTCATTTTTATAGTCCGAAAAGGGTTTGCCATGCTTTTGCTAAATGTTGAAGCTAAATTTGTTTCTTACATTGTCTCTTTCACCCTAGTTACTTTATGATAACTTATCTACTAGACTGTCACTGGAGGCGTGTCTGTGCAGAAGCACACTTATAGAAGCATGATATTGTGAAATTGGGTCTTGGTCAAATTTCTGTGCTTGAATGGATGATTAATCTAGTGACTGCTTTTTGTTGGCATGCTTGTTTAATGCTTGCATTATTTTTCAACCATTTTGGCAGGACCCCGAACTGATGGCTGCATTTAGTGATCCTGAAATCATGGCTGCTCTTCAGGATGGTAAACTTTTGCCGTTTTGTGTAGTTTTTTGTTGGATCATTTCATTCTGAAGCCACCTCTGAGCTAATTTTTAGCTTTTGATAAGATGACTGTTGGATTGAGTTATATACTCTATTTATGCCTGCCAAGCATGATGAGGATCAGAAACTAGTTGAAGTCCTTATTCTATGTTTACTCTTTCTCAGTCAATCGACGCGTCTATGCAAAACAAGCTATTGTATCACTTAAAATAACTAATAACTTTCCCCAATAACTTCTGAATTATTAATTCCTATTTTATGATTATTCTTATGCATTTGGGTATTGGTTTTGCAGTAATGAAGAACCCGGCTAATCTCGCTAAGCATCAAGCCAATCCCAAGGTGGCTCCTGTAATTGCTAAGATGATGAACAAATTTGCAGGACCAAAGTGAAAGGGTCTCTAAAGTTGATCTCAGTGGCAGGAACTCTTTGTTTCCTTTTGTCACATCAATGATACATGTGTAATTCTCTCTGTGGGCATAGTATATGTTTGGGTATCACATTAATTTTGTGTGCGGACTTCTCATTTGTAGATTGAACTGATTGATTTCAGAGTTGTTAAATTTCCAGTAATTTATTTTGGAACATGATTTGACATGCATCATTCTTAGTACTTGGTTTCTGCAATTGGATGGCAAATCTTAGATTATTTAGCAGGAGGTGTTAGTGGGCTTAAGACCTGTAGCGCGGTTAAAAATATCCAGACTTGGGCAGGAATAGGTAACTGGATCTCTTTGCCTCTTACGTGGATCAAGTTCTGGAATTTAGAAAACTATAGTTAAGAACCTTTGCGAGCCTGATCCATACTGAAGAGTTAAGGCAGGCCTGAATTTTAAATTACGTGAATTGGAACCTGAACTGGTTCTTTCGGGTTGGCTTCAGTTTCAATATGCTGGTTGTTAAAGTTTCGGTTAGACCAAATCAAGTCAGGCCTGGTCATTTTGGGTTTGATTTGCCCTCCATTGTGAGCAATCCTAGGTGCTACAGGCGGACCAGCGATATTCAGCTGGAGCTCTGAACTGGCCACTTAAGAATGAAAAGTGCCTTTATGATGTACAGCTCATAGCAAGATAGATGATGAGAATGGATGAATAAAATCTCCAGTATGATCATAAAAAGTTTTGAATTTGCATTTCACCAAGGCGTTTGCTTGCTTTTTGTCATTTTACAGAGTCAAAATGTCAGTTCAGTATGGAACATTAATTTCTTTTGCTGAAAAAGAAAGACCTCTTATCACACCAAACATTGTATTTTTTTTTTTTTTTCTTTTTTGAACTGAATTCTTGAACATTGTAATTCTTTGCCAAGATGGCAGACAAAGAAAACGACCTGTCACCCATTGGGAATTACCGACCAATGAGATGTCGTTTTTGCGTCAAAAGACTGGTCAATGACATCCTTTGAAAATTTTAGCTACCAAACCGTATACAAGAAAATTTAAAAAAAAAAAACAAGTAATGGATCAGGTTACATTTTCTTTTCAATGAAAGTTTCAATACCAAACTAAGGTACCTAATTCAAACACAAATATACATCTCATTTATCCAAAATAAGATAAATTTCTTATCAAGCTATGTCTTCATAATTTCCTTTTTCTTTCTTTTTTCCTTTTGAATCCTTTTCAAGTCTCTTCTTTCTTGAGACAAAAAGTAGTTTTTTTTTTTAAACAAAAGGGTTTAGCACTTAGTTTGTATCTATGTAAGTAGTCATTATATTATTGATGGCGGAGTTGAATTGAACGTGTGACTGTTTTATTAATTGGTCTTACCTCTACTTGAATATGTACATCTAATTATTTATTTTTTACCATGGCATTGCATTTTCTTCTTTTCGGATTTATTTATTGGGTTTTATAATTTCATGTTTCTATAATGACGAATTGATTACTGGAAAATTACGTAAAATTAGGGAGTTTAATAATGTGAATTTTATATAATTGATATATCAAATTTTTTGGAGTCAAATATATATGTGGAAAATAGTTATTTACAATGGGGTTCAATGAGTTGCCATTTGGCAGTAGTTCACAAGTCGCTGTAATGTGCTTGATGATGTTTAAGGCATAATTATGCAATTTACTCTTTGGATGCTCATTATGAACGCAAGTTCGTTGGTTTAAATTGTCATTTAAATTAATTTATTTGAGTTATTTTAGTTTTATTATATCATAAGACAAAAAGTAATACTTCAATTTAGAAAAGAAGATTGTTCAAATATAATATAAGTTTCATCAAAATATTGGAGCTCTCATGGTTGTTGATTTGCAAGTTCGGTTAATGAATAAATCTTTTCTCTTCAAAAAAAAAAAAAAAAAATTTGCATAAGACAAAAAGTAATACTTCAATTTAGAAAAAGAAGATTGTTCAAATATAATCATAAGTTTCATCAAAATATTGGAGCTCTTCATGGTTGTTGATTTGCAAGTTCGGTTAATGAATAAATCTTTTTCTCTTATTCAAAAAAAAAAAAAAAAAAAATTTGCTGAAAAAAAAAAAAAAAAAAAAATTTGTGACAATGTTAGCAACAGAATACAGACAACATCGTTTTCTGTTGCTATTGAAATTGATTCTTGTAGCAAAGTTTACTTACTATTAAAATGGATAATTTCTTATTGCAATTCGTCGTTCTTAACGAAAAAGAAAAAATAAACTCTATTCATGGTTGATCATAATTTAATTTTTAAAGGTGCTAATTACCCCATAACAATTTTTTTTTATATTTATAAATTCCTTAATTTTGATATAAGTACTTTTATTTTATTAGATTAGATTGATCAAATTAAAATGTAAATTAACAATTAATGACGGAACGAGGGGGTTACTGACTGATGACCATCATTCCTTAAGTCTAAAAATTTATTTCACAAATTAATGTGAAAATTTCGTCCCTCTAATATTTAAAATTTATTTCTAGTCCCTGTAATTTTGAATTTTGGATCCCCCATTACTAAATTCAATTTCAATAATTCTACTTTAATTTTCCCATGGCGGTAGGCATAGTCCACTCGTTCATCACTGAAATACTAAGAAATATTAAATCTTGTTAATAAGATTAAATCCATTTACACTTATAATAAAATGGAAGAAGGATAATTTTGACAAGCGGTAACATAAGATGATCAAATACAGTTTAATTGCATTTAATTATATTTATATCAGTTTATATAATGCATTATATATATAATTATATTTATATCAGTTTATATAAAGGCCATTATATATATATATATATATATATATATATTATATATTTATATATAATATATATATATACTTATATATATATATATCTTGCAAAAAATATGCGTATTTTATATATTTGCAAAAATATGGGTATTTTTATATATTTAGCCATTAATATATACCCAGAGAATAATTTTCATTTACTTTATGAGTTTGTCAATAATACATTAATATAGTATTTTAAGAAGTAACATTCAAAATGATTTATATTTCGAGATAAAATAATCACTTAAAAACGGTTTATATCTTCAAAACGAAGAGAGTATATAATTTTTGATGGCTAATAATTAATGTTATATTGACGTTGAGGTGATCATGAAGTCACAACGGTTGCAGTTGTGGCTAAGCCTGAAACCAGACAGAACCAACTGGTACAAGCAATCTAATCCTCAGCTACCGGACCACATTGAGTATGGGGTTCATGCATTGCTGTCTCTCTACCTGCAAATGTTTAAGTTACATAAAATTGTACATATACCTTAATACTAAGAAACGTTCAAAAGTTTGGTGGCTTACTAAATTTATTTATTTTATTAGATTATAAGTAAAATTTTCTTTTATATTTTTTTTCATAGTTTCCAAGGCTCAAAGGGTATTCTTCCATTCCATTTAACGGTTGAGATATAAATTTTTAGTTTTATTATTGGTGGTCTAAAAAGGTTTTTTGATAAAGATATTTGTTTATTTATAAAATAAGGGAAAATAATTATTTCGTCCCTGAGGTTTGTCATAATTATTTAAGTAGTCCCCGACATTTATATAAATATTTATAACATCCCTGAGGTTTACTTATATTAAATATTTATAACATCCCTGAGGCTTTTACTTCCGGTCTATTAAGTTGGTCATTCTGCTCCCAAAAAACACACTTTTTTTCGTTAATTTTGATGAGAAAAAGACGAAATTTATCCTGTTGCTAAGCTTTTAATTATTTGTTGCTTTCTATGAGGTTGCCATAATTATTTAAGTGAGGCCCTGATTATTTTTATAAATATTCTATAAACATCCTAAGGTTCTATTCCTCATATTAATTTGATCATTTCCGTCCAAAAAACACACTTTTTACTTGTTAAATTTTAATAGAATGACCAAACTACACTAAATCCTCTAATTAATATATCATCCCTTTCAACTCATTTGCTTTCCTTCTCACTCACTCACAAAAATGCCGTATAAACAAATTTTATTTGATCATTCCGTCCAAAAAACACACTTTTTACTGTTAATTTTTAATAGAATGACCAAACTACCCTAAATCCTCTAATTAATATATCATCCCTTTCAACTCATTTGCTTTCCTTCTCACTCACTCACAAAAATGGTATAAACAAATTCCATAGAGCTCAAAGCATAATGAACAACATCTACTTGAGCATCAAACATGTTCATGTATTTAATATTTGTATTTGCATCCAATGCATTACTTTGCTCAATAACCTCAGCAATTAATCCTAGAAACAGCAACCATATGCAAAATCTGCTAAAAAGAAGACCAATATAGCAAAGCAAAAATTTACATAGCACATTTAGCTTAATCTTGTTCACTTAAAACCTGAAACCACCATTAATAAATGCCTATGTAAATTTTAAATCATAAATTGTAAATTAAATTTAAAGTAATCACCCAGTTTGATTTAAATCCAAAATTGAATAAACAGATTAGAAATTTAGAAATTTACCCAAAATTTAAATTAAAATTTCTAAATTTTGGGTAAATTTAGAGGATTTAGGGTAATTGAAAGGGAGGATATGTTAATTAGAAGATTTAGGATAGTTTGGTCATTCTATTAAAAATTAACAGTAAAAAGTGTGTTTTTTGGATGGAAAGATCAAATAATATGACGGAAGTGAACCTTAGGGATGTTATAAATATTTATATAAATATCAGAGACTACTTAAATAATTATGGCAAACCTTAGAGTCGAAATAATGAAAACTTACAAATGATAATTTCGTCTTTTTCTTTTAAAATTAACAGAAAATGTGTGTTTTTCCATACGGAATGACTAATTAATAAGACGGAAGTAAACCCCGGAGATGTTATAAATATTTGTATAAATGTCAGGGACTACTTAAATAATTATGACAAACCTCAGGGACGAAATAATTATTTTCCCATAAAATAATTAATATCGGACGGAGAAGAGAGTATGTATGTGCTTAATTAAATTGCTTCTTAATTATCAAATTAATTAACAATTAATGCCAAAAAATGATATAATTAAGCAGAAATTAACTTTCAACACACCAATTAGGTTTAGTGTCTTGCAAGTTATTTTAAAGTTTGTGTTTGATAAACACTTGGCAATAGGAGAGGAGAGGTAGTTAATGACAAGATTCAGATTGAATCTGTTATGATTAATCTCTACAAATTAGCAGCCTCTGTGGAGGGAGTTTGAAATTAATAACCAAATAATTATAATTAATTAATATTAATAGGGGAATAAATAAGGGTAATTTTTATTTAAGTCTAAAGAAGTGATATTGAGGATAAAGGGTCCACATTGAACTACATTAACCTAAGCCTAGAGAGACAAGTCAAAGACCAAGAAATTGGATCATCAACTACCCCGCCTCATCTTTTACCTATTATATGATCAACCATCACAAGATGTTCATTGGCTTTTATCAAATTAAACTTTGAAACATGCATGAATGTCCCTTTGGGAAGACAAGTATAAAATGATTATAAAAACTAGAAATAAAGTTTTAGATAACTATTGATTCCCACATCAAATTAAAAATTTCAATTAGTCACAATTTTCAATTAACATATTAGGTTTTATTAACATAAAATTACAATTTGATATGAATACGGTGAATAATGGATTATTTAATTAATTCACAATTTCATTTGTGATTAATATATGAATTAAATATGTGATTCATGAAGTATAGATGATATGATATTTTGTGGATTAGTACCCTATTCCGGAACTCCTTTTAATGTAACTTCTAGTCAAAACACTATTTCTATTATTTATAGTGTTTTGTGATATAACGTTTTATATTAATGTTTAGAGTTTGCGGGACTAGAATATGACACGTTAATTCTTTTAATATTTAATGAAATACTAGTAAAACAACTGACAACTAGTAAGACAATTAATTTTACCGAATATGACCCGAATGAAGAAAATTTCGTTTATAAAGGTAGGAAAAGAAAAAGGAAATTTGATATGATTAGGTTAATTTATCATAAATCCAAAGAGACACATTTTATAGTTGTAATACCTCGATTGGGCATTCCATGAATATAATTTAATATGAGGGCAAAATCTTGTAAAGGGTTGATATGTTTGGTTTATTGAACCAATCAAGAAACCTCAAATGATCTTCTTTGGATTGAGAAATCGAAAAATCTAGAATTTGATACATACGTGTCATGTATCTTATAATGGTGCGTATTAAGGTTAATATAAACGTATATTGTCCTTGTCAAAAAGAAGTTAAATCATTTTTCCTGCGTACCATTTTGCCAAAATGTGCACGCATGTTTATGATAATGACACCTAAATATGCTTATTTGTGGTTAAGATGGATAATTAATAGCAATTTAAGCATAATTAAGATTTTAAATTAGCTTTGCTTTCTTGATATCCAAAAGCTGGTGAGGCAATAATGTGGGATTAGTGGTAATAAAGAAAATAAGAAAGAATAATCAGAACATGGTTTTCTTTTAAAAACGTCATTAGTTTGAGTAATTATATGTAGAACTTAGAAGATAAGCAGATTAGCAAATTGTTAATGACTGATGATCTTGTGGTTTGATAGGGAAACAAATCATGTAATGCATACTTGAAGGAAAACAGTGGAGGTTTCTTGACAATTTTGACTTATTACTACCTTTTCTTAAGACAAAAGTAAACTATATTTTTCAATTTTTTACTATGATTGTTTTTCTAGTTCACCAACATGCTATATCTCCCTCTATTCGTCAACAGCGATCTGAAAGTTCCCAAAAATATGGAAATGTAAATATATAGAACCCAATAGAGAATCTACACATGTTTATTTATTAATTTGGTTTTAAATTCATTGTAACTAAAATATGTGTGTTTTTTATTTTATTTTATTTACATTTATGGAAGGTTTGATTGATCAAATTTCATCCTTGGAAAAGTAAAATTTCGATTCTTTGAAATTCATGAGTTTGATTTCTGCTTTCCTATATATATGAAAACATTCAATTAACTTATTTTACTGAAAATTTTTATATTTATTAAACTGATTACCATTTTAAGAAAGTGCTTTTTGATGAAATAGTTGAATTTGGATAACTAAATGCTCATTTAAGATATTTTTGTTTTTGTTTTTAATATTACATTATTAATGAATTATTTTTCCTCTCACCGATTGTGCAAAGAATAATAAGCCGAAACCACTTGCAAGAACGCTACTCAAATTGCAAATGGAAAAATGTGAATGTCTTCCAAATTTCATGAAGTAAATTAAATGTATTCCAAAATCATTTCGCATTTTGCCTTCTAAGATGTTCCAAGTGCTTTCTTCTTTATTCTTTTTTTCTTCCAATTACAGGGAAGAAAATTATTTCGCATTCAACTAGATCATTCTACATACCAGGAAAAAGTAGGCAAATGTTGTGGGAAATTGTCTGAAAAAAATCATTATTTAATTGGCATTAACTTTCTCTGAGACTGAACATATGACTCTCTTATTTTTTACTATTAGACTATCAGTTATTTATGCTCCAGAGTGTTTAATTTTTGCTCCTCTTAGAGCCTAAAATTATATTCATCAATTCATTGCCTTAAAAAAATAATATATATATACATTAACAATTAAGCAAATAATGAATTTTTGATACGGTGGTACTAGAACTATCTTATAGCTGTCAGGTTTTAAATTCAAATTTCAATTAATATGTGCAAAATTAAAGAATAAAATAGATTTGTAGTTGCAAGTAATAAAACACTTTTAAATTCATTGTACGATTTCTGCAAAGTCCATGATTCAATTAATTTGTATAAAAATGTTGGAATTGCAAAATAGAAAGAACAAAAAAGAAAGAAAAAGTAAAGGAAAATCAAAACCTACAACATATCTATCAAAGGGAAATCTCTAAAAATAAAATGCCAATAAAGAATATGAGGCACATGAATAATATAAAAGAGTATCCCAATAAGGACACGTAAACGTGGTGATGACGAAATGAGTGATGGAATGGTTGAGTAAGAGTGCAATCAGGAGGAGTGGGGTTGTGTAGGAAAATGGGAAGAAAAATTTTCCTTTTTTTCTTTTTTTTTTTTTTTTTTTTTTTTTTTTTTTTTTTTTGTGGGTGATGGACGAAATGAGTGATGGAATGGTGAGTAAGAGTTGCAATCAGGAGGAGTGGGGTTGTGTAGGAAAATGGGAAGAAAAATTTTCCTTTTTTTCTTTGTTTTTTTTTTTTTTTTTTTTTTTTTTTTTTTTTTTTTTTTTTTTTTTTTTTTTTATAAATCGTTTTCTCCTTATTAGGGGGTGCTTCTTTAGATGTAGCTCAGCTCAGTCTTTTGGTCACCTATCATTCTTTTGTCACTCAATTTTCTGTATCCACACATACCCTAACGAGCCATTTTTGTTCCCATGTCCTTTTCATAAACCAATGGTGGACCCCTTCTCAAGTCCCCTTCTCTCCATACAATATTAATTTTGTTCTCATAATATATATTTCTAATATATATTTTAGGGTACCAAAGTTGAGGACTTTATATAAAGCTGTGTTGGTGAGACTTTTTCTTTGCTTGGAATTAGTGGAATAGCATAAACGTTTACTGTGTTTGTCCTGTGATATGGGTAGGCAACCTTGTTGTGATAAGCTTGGAGTCAAGAAAGGGCCATGGACAGCTGAGGAAGACAAGAAACTCATTAATTTCATTCTTACAAACGGTCAATGTTGTTGGAGAGCTGTCCCTAAGCTCGCCGGTCTCCGGCGATGCGGTAAGAGTTGTCGTCTCCGCTGGACTAATTATCTTCGTCCTGATTTGAAGAGAGGTCTTCTCACTGAAGCTGAAGAGCAATTGGTTATTGATCTTCATGCACGTCTTGGCAATAGGTTAATTGCTTATTTTAATTAGTTAATTTCTTATTTTGTAAGTTTTTGTTGCTGTTATTATTATTAGTTTTGTTGTTGATGATCATGCATTAATTAAAAAGCATTTTAAATGTTTTTAGTGGTTTTATTTAATGGGGTTTGGTACGGTGCCTCCATCTTCTACATGTTGGTTTTTGGTTGCTTATGTAATGACACATTTAAATATTATTGTAACGGATAATCATGTTCTGTAGGAACAAGATAATTCATTTTTGAAATGAAAGTGTTGGACAAGCTGACTTAATTAAATAATATCTTGTATTTGAACAATAATCATACTTCAAACATTATATTTTTAGTTACATTCTTGATAATTAACATGCGGAAAACGAATAAGAAAACCTTCAGCAGCAAATGTCAAAGATTTTGAAAGTTAGTGTAAAGTGCAAGAATATAATTATTTCATCTTCAATTTGCTTAAGATTCAAGTGATGATGAATTAATTTTATATCTCCAACACATTTTCTTGATTCTTCTTTCATGTGATTAGGTGGTCCAAGATTGCTGCTAGGTTACCAGGAAGGACAGACAATGAAATCAAGAATCACTGGAATACCCATATCAAGAAAAAGCTTCTGAAAATGGGAATTGATCCTGTCACACACGAACCCTTACAGAAAGAAGCCAAGACTGAAGAAAGTTCATCGGTGTCTCAAACCGACCATCTTTTACCAGAACCCGCCAACAACAGCAGCAATGATAGCATACAAGAAAATGATGGCATAGTCAACTCATCAGAGGAAAATTCAAGCTCATCGCAAAATGATCAAAATTTCTGTAGGGATGAATCAATTTTATTAGATAGTATTTGCAACGACACGACGTTATTGAATAGTTTATTGATGGACGAGCCTCCTCTCATAGACGCATCATGGAACAATACTAATAATAACAATAACAACAATAGTCCTCCTGCTCTTGAAAACCCTAATCGTGAAATGGGTTATCCATATCCGTCGTGGGAAGATAACTGCACCTGGTTATTGGATTGCCAAGATTTTGGAGTACATGATTTCGGGTTTGATTGCTCGGACAGCGCGGCGTTGCATGCGTTAGAGATGGAAGGCAAGAACTAAGATACACAAGTATGTACATATGGATATGGTAGTAACAAAAATTTTAAGGTACAAAAATGATACAGAACTAAGTATCATGTACGGGTAGGTGAAGTTAGGTTACGGTATATATGTGCTTTATCATTAGATTAATTATTGTTGTGAGGGTCGAAGCAAAAACCTGTCTTGTTTACAGGTTTCTCAATTTCTCACCAACCTGGTCAAAACAGTGATCCCAAATAACTTGAAAAAGGAAATCATAAAATGTGACATTATTAATATATTCTTGGTGCTTTACGAAAGTTGCTGTAATCCTACATGTAAGAGACAGGGACATGTTGGGCCATTGTCGAAAAAACATATACATATGTGGCTAGTGGGTCTTTTAGTAAATTATCATTAATTATAACATTTGTAAATATTGTTGTATGATAATTAATTAATGTCGAATAAAGTGGATAATATTATTTGTTTTTCTTATTGTAATAAATAACTGGTGGAAATAAAGATCATCCATCTTTTTATAAATATTCATCTCAAAAGAAAATAATGTTGTAATATTATGCTTTATTTAGATCCAACATAGATAAAATATTTTTTCAAGCGAGTTTTAATTATAAAATTAAGGATTTTAAATTTTAAATTATTACAATTGAAGAATTTTGTTTAAATATTATCATTAGTCTAAATATAAAAATGTGTACGGAAATAAAAAAAATTATTATTTTTATACTTTAAGGCAAAATCCATTTTTAAGTAAGATTACTTTTATAAATGTAAGTTTATAAAGGTACATGTAAGTTTTATGAAATTTATATATATATAAAAGTTTCTATGCAGTGACAAACTCATTTATTGATATATTGATGATAAATAAAGAAAATTGTGAAATTTATTTTTTTAATTTTTGATGGTAAATATAATTTTTTAATTGTTGTGCAAAAATAACTTTATTTATATAAATGGAACGAAGAGAATATTATTTTTTAAAATTTTTCTAATAAGCAGTGTCCCTAGTTAGGGTTTTTAAATTAAAGCATATGGTATATCCATTGCATCCATTAATTAGGTAGCCAGTACTCGTCTAAAGTACAAAAAGTTGAAACTTTATATTACTCTTAATGATCAACATAAAAGATATTTTCTATATATAATTATAAATCATCATGCACCTTTTTTTTTAATTAAACTACAGTGTTTCAATGGCAAATGCAATTAATATATTCCAGTGGAATATCCAATTATGATTTTGTGCAGTTACTGAAATTCCATAAGTGCAAGACAAGGAATTAATTAAGCTCCAATTAGCTTTTATTTAATTAATCAACTGAGCACACACACTAATCATGTTTTGCTTTTCAATCTCTTTACGATTTAATAAAGCTGATCGTACTAATTAATTTAATTAATAATCTCAATTGTGTTATCCTTCCAATTTGATGATTATATTCTCCATTGAATTAAGTACTTCTCAGTGCTGCTGATTTCATTTTCTTTTATATGATCTATGCCTACAATAAAACAGCCAAGAACTATGACTCTATGAATTTTAATTTAGGATTGTGAAATTTTAGGTTCAAACCCTAATGGGAATGTAATTATATATCCAAAATAAGAACTCTTGACATCAATGTTTTTGTAAATCCATTTGATTGTTTTTGTAATTTTAGAAGCTGCCTTGCCGCCAATTTTGTCTTTTGATCATCCATGACCGCTGATTAAATGTCAGCATATATACTGCAGTCGCTTGATGAAGAAGACATATATATACATACATACATACATGCACTTTGAAATAACTATGTCCTAATAAGAAAATGATGGATACAAGTTAATTTCATCAGTGATATTATAATCTTGACTGGATTGTGACTTGAAAATGGACCTTAAATTCAATTATTACATATATTCAAACATATAGGTTATCATTCAAGTTTGAAAAGTTGACAATGAATTTAATGAATTTAACGTAAGTTTTGTTCGGCAAAATTAATTATTTTACTAGTCGTTAATTGTAAATAGTTATTTTACCAACCTTCCATCAAATATTAAAAAGAAGGACATTTCATAATCCAGTTCTACAAAACTTTAAATACTAGTATAAAACGCTACTATAAATAATAGAAATAATATTTTGACAAAATTCAAAACACTGAATGTTTCGTTAAAAGCTGTTACTAAATAAGATATAGGCTTTTTTCAGCAAACTTAATTATTTTACTAGTTATTAACTGTTCTAATAATTTTTAGTTATTTTACTAATATTCAATTGAACCTTAAAAAGGAATAACATGTCATAATTCACTTTTGCAAATTTTAACTATAAATAATAGAGATAATATTTGATTGAATGCTAAGTTAAACAAGACATAATTTTGAGCTCAAAAGAATACTAAAAATAATGTATATGCAATGGAAAAAATAAAAAAAGAAACAACAGATTAATTAACAAGCGTGATCTGGAAGAGCTTGATATCATTATATATATATATATATATATATATGCTTAGTGTCGATGTAAATTTTCTTAAAAAACAAGTTAATCATAAAAAATTATTTATCAAGTTACATAAGCTAAACGTTTTAGGCCTATAAATTAGCATATATATATATTTATATATGCACTTAAAAAAGAAAATGAAAAGAAAATTCTGCTTATATATATATATAAACAGACATATTTATATATAACAAAGAGTAAAGGAAAGGTACTTTTGATGATAGAGTTTTCTTGTATTGGACATCAAGGTAATTACTTTTTGGCACGACTTAGAAAAAAGAAAATAAATTTTTGAAAGAATAGAACATATGATGATGATGATGAGTGCTTGAAAGGTGGAGACCCTACACCTAAAGATTCTAAAATGGATGGATAGGATAGCTATGGCAATGGCATGTCCTGAAAAACTAAAATGGAGTGATTAGAAAGTGGAATGTGGAATCATGACATGAAGGTGTATTGGTGTTGGTCTGTTGGCTTTGACATTTTCTTTGAATAATTCATTTCTACTGATACTTCTGCTTCTGATTTCAAGTGTTGTTTTGAAAACAACAACTGAGAGTCCATCTTATAATGAGAGGGAAAAGCTGCCCATCTCGTCTTGATGTGTATGTAGCATCTATACCTATAGCTATGGGCCTCCACAGTATTTCAAGAATTCATTAGAAAAGAGTTAATCTTTTTCAAATTTTAATGATTATTTCAATAATATTTTCATAATTTTCCAAAAATTACAATTTGGACACAAGAATTAAGAAGGAAAAAAAAAAAAAAATAGTGATGGGCCTCCATGCTTTTTGTTTTTATTTAGTTTTATATTGGAGTTGGCAGGATAAGCAGATATCTTTTCCAGTTACTTTGTGGAGCACAGTTCATCAAATTTCGTATTTTGGTTTGACACTAAGCATATACCTCCGACCACTTTAAAATCAAAGAGTGCACTATGTGTGAAACCCATATTAAAATTGCTATTATCCATAGCAATACCGATGAGGTCTTAAACCCTTTTAAGGCCTAAATCACTTGTATTGTCCTGCAGAATGGGAAACACTTAAACATCTCATCCCACTCGTGTCTATAAAGAAGAAAATTTAGAAAAATTCAAGTGAAATAATGTTCACACGCAAGCAACAGATAGTTGGATCATAAAAAATAGACTGTATCAAGTAAATTTTATCTGTAAGATCAGAGATTTTAGAGTTAAATACTCATTTCAAGAATGAAAACACAAATGCAAACTCACTCAAAGAAAAAATTTGGAGTCCTTGTTCTGAAAGGGTTTTATTTAAATACTGCTCTTGGTTCCAATGTCAAAATAGTGTGAACTGGGAAAGGTAAATCTCTATGCTTTTGCGAGGGATGAAAAAGAAAAGAGGCAAACGATTAAACTCTTCTTCTTTTACATTTCTTGAAAATGAAATAGAACAAAAATGCTGAATAAAATAGGAAACGAGTTTTCCCCTTCAAACCTGATTTTGGACTTGGCCCACAGCCCATAGCCCATACCCCATAGCCCATAGCCATAAGTGCATTTCAAAATTGCAAATATCCGGTCCTTGGATACATAAAATGTTAAACTTATCGAATGTCTATATACTTTCCATTTGTTAACATTTTTCATTTAATTTAATATTTTTAATTAAATATTTATTTTAATTTTCCGATTGATTATAATTCTATTAATTTTTTCCATTATTTTGAGTGACAATACATAAAGCATTTATTGGATTTAATTTTTTTTATCGTTAATTGATTATATATAAATGAATTGTAGTGTTGAACTCGATTTTTTCTTATAAAAATATCGACAATATAGTTCATTTAGTTAAGAAAAAAAATTTATTAATAACCATCAATCTAACTTATTGTAAAAAAATATATATAAAATTTTTCATGAAATTTTTTAAAATTATAGGTTATGTCATATAAATTAAATTAGTAAATTGTAAACATCGGCTGAACGCAAAGGAATCATCTTGCATCAAGCCGCCAACTTTGTAACACGTGTAATCACAGTTTCTATCGTGACAGTGGATGATGATATAGGCATTAGCCAAAATGAACTCAGGATAACTATTATAGAGTCCACCCCATAATAGTATAACTCTTCAGTGCAGAAAATACGAACTCACAATCGCTGCCCTTCTTATTCAAAGAACGAGTCGATTCTCCAAGCAGGAAGGAAGGAAGAACCCTAAGCGGATCATGATCTTGTAGCTATTCTTCAATTATTCTCTTTATTTATTCATTCTCTAACTGGTATGCCATTTTTTCACTCTCTGATTTTTTTTATTTTTATTTTGCAATTTCTTTTCACCAAAAAAAAAAAAAAAAAATTCCAAAGCAGGAAAGGAAGGAAGGAAAAACCCTGGAGAGCGGAATCATGATCTTGGTAGCTATTCTTCATATTAATTTCTCTTTATTATTCATTCTCTAACTGGTATGTTTTCCATTTTTCACCTCGTGATTTTTTTATTTTTATTTTGCAATTTCTTTCCAACATCAAAAAAAAAAAAAAAAAAAATTCACAATATTTTTTAAAACCCTTATGAATACTCAATTCCATCCCAATTTTAATTTATGCAGAAGAAAAAAAAAAAAAAAAAAAAAAATTCACATAATTTTTTAAACCCTAGAATACTCAATTCCATCCCAATTTTATTTATGCAGAAAAAGTCTCAGGTTATACATTATCGGATTAAGTGAATTCAGATTTTCTCTAATTTTAGTGGTAATCATGTGTTACATTAGAAACTTGGAATTGGTGTTATATGTGTTGTTTTGGACTTGTAAAAAAGCGAAGAACATGTCGTTTTAGTTAGTAGGGTTTTGTTGGCTTGTTGCTTCTGTTTGTGTAATTTGTTATTTTTCATGTTTGAAGTGACAGACAATGCCTTCTTTTGCCTTCCGCAAATGTTTTGTTTTGAGATTTCGTTTCATTTTGTGAACTTGATGAACGAAGAAAAGATACAGCCAATGTTTTGGCTGATTTATCATTGCAATTTTGGTTTTGGCTGAGGCATTATTGGAACTTTTAAATTGATGCATAACTCGTTCAGTGTAGGTGATCAGCGAAGAAAGGCCTAATCATTAGAAATGTACGCTTGGTCTTTAATAATTCATTGATGACTCCCTTGTGTACCTGTATAATGAACAGACACCTTTCTTGTTATCTTATTTTCTGAATGATCAGATTGGTGCTTTTCAACTATTAAATCTCCGATTGACCATTGCTCCCTCAAACCCATCAGAACAAGCTAGTTGCTACTATTAATGATATGAAACAAAGTTCACTTCCAAATTGCTTATTATATGTACTAGAAAGTCTGAACTATTCGTTTCTGAGCAGCAAGATCTCTTTGGAATCTTTTTTTCCCAGGTAAAAATTTCAAGGGTATTGCCGCTATGGGTGATTTTTCAATTCAGATCAGTGCTGATCTTGTTAATAGGCTTGCCAATGATGCCGAGAAGTTGAAGAAAAAACCGAAGAAAACTAAAGCTAAGATACCACGAGAACCTGCTCAACCCCAAACTAAGGTGATTGAGAGTCAACTTCATAATGATCCTGAGACACATAAAGGTGCTGCTTCTCCAGGTTGGCCAGTGCAACCGCCATTGTTCTTGCCTGTAACCCCACCCGCACATTCTGAAAACTCGGAATTAGAGGCAATTAGATCTGTCATTCAGAAAAGTGAAATGGTTTTGGAAAAGTTGGAGAAGAAGGAGGATGCCTTGGTGCAAGAAGTAACAGAAAGAGCCAAAAATCTTCGTGATAAGGAATTCAAGCTTCCATATCAGAAGCCTATGCCCTGTTTGGCTGATTATGAAGCCTGCCGTGCTTGTTACAAGGAGAATCCTAATGATATACTGAAATGTGCCCCTCTAACTAGGAGCTATGTTGATTGTGTTCGCAGCGTGAAGAAGCAAGCGAGTTAGGAGGAAAATTTTCCATAGTTGTATACATGATTCCAAGCTAATCCCAGTTTGAAAGATGAGCCAATTACATTTTTGCGGTGCAATAAATCAAACATTTATTCTTATTACCGGTGTTGGAATTTATGCTGTGCTTTGTGATGTCATTTAGTATTTGGTCAAGTCTATTGCTTCTTTCCATCTCTGAACTGTGTTTTTGTTGGTTTTCAACAATTTAACTATGAGAGCTTACATTGTACTGAGCATTTGATGCCTACAGAATTCAATATCACAGCTTTTTGCTACTGAGTTGCTCTTTCCTATAGCACGTTGGAAGAATTTGATCTATATGATTGTATATTATAATTTTTATGAACAATCGAGTGGTGAAATCTTGATGCATTTCCTGCTTATATTCATAACAATCATGTTCGAAACTATTTCTTGGAGTGTTCAGAAACTAATTTGCTTTTGCAGTTTTTGTGACTAACATGTAAAATTCATTTTTAGATTTAACTGTTATGACTTTTTATTTTATTTTATTTCATTCTTCTATTTCTTTTAAAGCAAATAACCTTAATTTAAATATATTGAAAACAAATAAAGCAAGAATAGAAGCTTCTGATCCTTTCAATTAAAAAAAAAAAAAAAGATGTTCCTCCTAAATCACAGGTAATGTCGCTATCAAAAAATTTCACAAACTAAATGTTTAGCCAAAGCTTTTGTACTATAGGGGAAAGCACCATTTTTCATGTAAAAGACAATCCCTTTATTGTAAAGGAACTAGAAGTACAAAAATAAAAATAAATTATCAGTATTTGCCCTTCCATGAATACCACTTCAATTTCAGTTGATACCACAGAGGAGGAATGCCAAGAACTCCTCGTTCCAACCTTGGATCAAACACATCAAACTGCACTTTACTCAAGGAGTCTATGAGAACTTGGGCTGGAATAGCTGGTAGAAGCACCGGCTGAGCTTCAGCAGGTATTGTTCCAGCCAATGCACGAGCCTTCTGCAAATGAACATTAGCGACTGATGCCATCTCAAAGACAGCATCACATAAGCCCTCGCGTGAATCCAATCGAATTTCTGATTGACCTCCCTCCTTAACTAATAACCCGTGTTTGGCTGCCACTTCAGTTGGTATATAAGAGAAGTGACGGTTGCGACTAGCATGATATGGGAGTGACCTAAGTAGCAATAGAAGCCCGCTTGCCTTACCAACGTGGGATGCCACATGATCAGCCGCAGTGGACCTAATACCACCAGCTTGAAGTGTCATGTACAGAATGGTTGACACAGTGTCCTCAGCATATTTTTCCAACTCTTCTAAGGTTTCTGGGATGTCAGTAACTTCTCTCCTTGCATCATTGATGCGTGCTTCGACTGACCGTTTCAACCATCCCTTAGTAATTTTATTCTCTAATATCACTGATGAGAGGGCCTGTGCAGTTGGGTGCTCAATTAACTTGTTAGCATAAATCTTATCTATAGTTTCTTGCCACCAGAGGAGTCGCATAAGACCAATCCTGGGATCTGAAGCAACATCCATAGCTTTGGCTGTTTCAACATTAAAGGCACGGAGGGCAAATGCAGCCTTTCGCATGTTAGGAGGGAGTTCAAGTAGGCAGAGATAGTGATGGTAATCATAACTTCGCACTTGCTGTACACAGTGGGAAAATGCTGCACGTAGGCTGCTAGAAGCACCTTTCATCAAATCCCAAGTGTCGTTCCTCCTAGAAATGCATCATAGGTACATATGAGGGGCGAGTTTAAATAAAGGTCAAAAAAAGGTGAGGCTTACACATCGATAATAAAAGCATAGTTAAGAAACACAGGAAAAAGATGCCACCATATTTAGTTAAGAAATTTATAACAAAAACACCAAGTACTTTTTATGCTTACACCCTCTTTTTTTCTTCTTTTGAAAGATAAGGATTTGAAATAGAGAGATCAAGGATGCAAGATAAGAATGTCAATATTTTGCCAGTTCAAACACTTGCAATCATGGCAGATGAACCTAAGAAGTTAATAAAAAAGTATGCAGTTTATGCTATTACTCAGAGATCATTTCATTATAAGACAAAAACATTGATTATATAAACTTGCAAAGTTTTATGGTACTCAGCAATTCCTACAAACATCAGGCATCAATTGTCACACCATGCACCTTCTATACTTCTCCCATGGTTTATTAACTTTATTTCCAATGCTTGATTTGAATTCTTGGCCCCAACATTCCATCTCTCTGTGACATGCCCATGAAAAACAAGTTGCACAAAATATTGTTTTTCCTAAGATAGCAACTCTTGGGAGAGGAATTCTATACATGGTTTAGGAACAAGAATTTCGCGTTTTATATAATATAAGGTTGCTCTCCATTAGTTAAACATGGCTCTCAATTTCCTGCCAAGCACAATACCAGTACTGCCAAGTGCCAACAATGACATTGGTGTAAAATTACAAAACTTGAGAAAGTAAGCAAGAATGCAGTATTTAAACTGCATTGTGTCAACCAACACAAGAAATTACAGGTAATAAATCCAAGAAACAGCACACAAATTGAAAAGGATGCGTCCTAGGAAAAATTGTGTACAAATTTGTTTGATGGGATGGGATTACTGTGCTTACTATATAAGCTTAATTGTAGAACTCTGATCAAAGCAAAACCTTAATCCCAGTGAAGTAATGTAACCAAGCACATTTCAGAATATAACTAGCAAAAACATTACAGGGAAGGAAAAAAAAAAAAAAACACATTTCTCAGAGGCATTTAAACAAACAGGGGTAGAGCATTGTAATTCATGGGCAGGTTAAACAAATGAAAATAAAAAGATCAGAGAGTGAAAAATTGGCATACCAGTTAGAGAAGAAATAAAGAAAATAATTGAAGAATAGCTAGAAGATCATGATCCGCTTAGGGTTCTTCCTTCCTTCCTGCTTGGAGAATCGACTCATTCTTTCAATAAGAAGGGCACCGATTGTGAGTTCGTATTTTCTGCATTTACTGAAGAGTTTTGCTTTTATGGGGTAAACTCTATAATAGTTATCCTGAGTTCTTTTTGGTTAATCTCTATATCACCATCGGCTGTCACGATGGAAACTGTGATTACACGTGTTGGATAGTTGGCGGCTTGGCGCAAGATGATTCCTTTGCGTTCAGCCGATGGTTACTTACTAATTTAATTTATATGAAATAACCTATAGTTTTAAAACTTTTCAAAAAAAAAAAACTTATAATTTTAAAAAATTTCATCAAAGTTTTTTATTACAATAAGATTTTTTTTTTCGCAAAAAAAAAAAAAAAATAAACTTAAAAAAAAACTTATAATTTTAAAAAACATTTGTCATCAAAGTTTTTTAATTACAAAAGATTTTTTTTTTCGCAAAAAAAAAAAAAAAATCATTAAAAAAAAAAAAAAAAAAAAAAAATCATTGTAAGAAAAAATACAAATTTTTTAAAAAATATAAGTTAGTTTGATGGTTAAAATTATAAGTTAGAGCAAGAAAAGGAGAAGTAAAATGAAAATTTTGTTATTAAAAATCAATATAAATAAATAACTAAAATATGTTAAAAATTTATTTATTTATTTTATTATTTTAAGCAAATAACTTTGAGTTTAAATATAGAATATAGCGAAAATAGATTTTTATTTTAAAATTTTTTATTTTTCTTTTGCAAAGAGAATTTTTTTTATATATATTTCAGTATGCATCAAAATATTAATTTGTTGTTAGAAATGCTTGTTAATAATGATGAATCCATTAATTGAAGTGACATATACAAGGGGATATCATGAGAATTTTTTTTTGACACTTGCATTAATTTTCACTTGTCATCAGAGGTAAATGGGCTAATCTGAGAAAATTTATTTTGTAGAGAATTGAACTCATGATTTATATTATGGTGATAAATCTCATAAGTGCTTTTTGCCGCTAAACTAGTCTCTTCATGTTGTACCACCGGAATTAATACAAAGGAAATAAGATTTTTCTTGTATTAAATTACTTTAGTAATTAATTAAAAATAAATAAATTGAAATGAAGGAAAAAATAGAGAATCACGCGCTGATCACGTGAGAGTGGTGGACGATGTCCAACGTCGCGGTCCTGGCGCTGGCGAGGACCACTAATTTATCGCCGTTGTTTTTCATTTCCTCGTTTCTTCTGTACTTCCAAAATCGCCGATCCATTTCCTTTCCAGATTCCGACCAATCTCCGACCTTTTCTCTCGCTTTTCTTCACCTCCCTAGCAAGCTACTACTGCTTCAGGTCGTTTTCTCCGTTACAGGTAACTAAAATACCTCTCTCTCTCTCTCTAGTAGCCTTGCAGATGAGGTTTATTTCTATAGAACTTTTCTCTTTTTGTATTTATATATATTGTGCAAGTTTTAGTTTGGTGTTTATTGTTGAAGTATACTGTGTTTGCAACTTCAGGGTGGCTATTTTCAGAAGAATATGCTTGTGTTGGAATTTGAATATCTGCATTGATGATATTTGTATATTCTGGCGTTAAATGTACTTCATTAGAGCAATTTTAAATGCAGGAATTTACTGTTTGCTTTTATTGGTGTGATAAATAAGAACCTGATATTTTGAATAAAGCATGGAAATTGAAGTTGCAAGATTTATGAAAAGATGTGGGTTTTTTACAATTAAAAGAGAGAATTATTATTTTTTCCAACTAGAAATGTTAGCATAGGAAAATTCAGGTTTTTGAAAGCATGATGGTTGATGATGATATATGTATATATACCAATATAGATAAATACTGGACTTTAGAGTGTCTAGAAGAAGGTAGTCTTGGTGTACTTTATGAATTCTGAATTTTTGCAGCTAAATAAAGCTTTGGATGATCAGAATTACTTACTTTTCATTTGCTTTTGGTTTGGAACATAACGTTACCTTCTCAATTTATAGGTTAATATAAGCTATTGATTATTCCTGTGATCAAGACTGTAGATTTCTTTGTCATTGGTTCAATTTAATTAGGCTGTTCGAAATTCTTTTCACCTTGTTGTGCTTGACATTGTTTCAAGTTCTTTTTGTGCGTCAAAAAATTTGCTTCCTTTGGCAAAGGAAAAGGAAACATAAATTTATGCTGGTCTGATGGTATGTCATTGGTCATTTTATATAGAGTATAAGTTCATGTTCAAAAAAACATGCTGCATCAAGAGACTTTGGACATGATAAATCATTTTATGTACTTCAATTCTCGATTCCTGTGTTTTCTCTAGATTTTATTTATAGTTTTGAGTCTCATGTAGGTTTATATCAGTTTAATTTCGATATACTTCCTTAATTATTTCTATGAACTGAATGGCAGAACAAATTTCATATTAGTTTAGGGATTATGGTACGCGGAAGAGATGCTTGCTGGGAACACTGTGTTCTTGTCGATGCAACAAGGCAAAAGGTTAGATGTAATTATTGTCATCGGGAATTCAGTGGAGGTGTTTACCGGATGAAGTTCCATTTGGCCCAAATAAAGAACAAAGACATAGTTCCCTGTGTAGAAGTCCCGGATAACGTGCGAGATCACATTCAAAGTATACTAAACACTCCTAAGAAACAGAAAACTCCCAGAAAACCAAAGGTGGATAGAGTGGTTAATGATCAACAAAATAGCTCTTCTGCTAGTGGTGGCTTACATCCAAACCATGGATCCAGTGGCCAACGTGGTAGCACCTGCCCATCTTTGTTATTTCCACACCCCTCACCTAGTGGACAGCCAGAAGTAGATGATGCTCAGAAGCGAAAACAGGATATTGCTGATAAAAAAATTGCTGTGTTTTTCTTCCATAATTCTATTGCGTTTAGTGCTGCTAAATCTATATATTATCAGGATATGTTTGATGCTGTGGCTGAGTGTGGGGTGGGATACAAAGCTCCAAGTTATGACAAGCTGAGATCCACACTGTTGGAAAAAGTAAAAGGTGATGTACATGATTGTTACAGGAAATATAGAGAGGAATGGAAAGAAACAGGCTGTACAATTTTGTGTGACAGCTGGTCTGATGGAAGAACCAAATCAATTCTTGTATTTTCGGTTACGTGTCCTAAAGGAACGTTATTTTTGAAATCAGTTGATACATCGGGTCATGAAGATGATGCTAATTACTTGTTTGAGTTGCTTGAGTCAATTGTCTTGGAGGTTGGCTTGGAAAATGTGATACAAGTAATCACAGATAATGCTGCCAGTTATGTTTATGCAGGGAGGCTTCTCATGGCCAAGTACACCTCATTGTTTTGGTCGCCTTGTGCTTCTTATTGTATTGATAAGATGCTGGAGGATATAAGTAAACAAGAGTGGGTTGGTACAGTTTTGGAGGAGGCAAACACCATAACCAGGTACATATATAGTAATGCATGGACTTTGAATATGATGAGAAAGTTTATGGGTGGAAGGGAATTGGTCAGACATAGAATCACAAGATTTGTGAGTAATTATCTCTCCTTGAGGGCTATTGTTATCCAGGAGGACAATCTAAAGCATATGTTCTCCCATTCAGAGTGGATATCATCTGTGCATAGTAGACGCCCCGATGCTCAAGTCATCAAATCTTTGTTGTATCAAGATCGTTTTTGGAAGTTTGCGCGTGAAGCTGTTAGTGTTTCTGAACCCCTTGTTAAAATTCTAAGGATTGTTGATGGGGACATGCCAGCTATGGGGTATATATATGAAGGAATTGAGAGGGCAAAGGCTGCGATCAAGACATATTATAAAGGTATTGAAGAAAAATATATTCCAATTTGGGATATAATCGATCGCAGATGGAACATACAGCTCCACTCACCATTACATGCTGCAGCGGCATTTCTTAACCCCTCAATTTTCTACAACCCGAATTTTAAAATTGATTTAAGGATGAGGAATGGGTTTCAAGATACTATGATCAAGATGGCTACCTCAGATAAAGATAAAATAGAAATCACCAAAGAACATCCAATGTACATAAATGCTCAAGGGGCACTGGGTACTGATTTTGCAATCATGGGAAGGACACTGAATTCTCCAGGTATGTTGAAGTTTCTGTCATTTCTGTCAACTTGTGCATAGTGCATTACACAAAAAGAATATGAAATGTAATATTTCGCATTTGTATGCTTTTGAGTTTTGAAGAAGCCTTACAAGTGCATCTAATATGCCATCATACGCATCTTTAGGTGATTGGTGGGCTGGATACGGCTACGAGATTCCAACTCTGCAGAGAGTTGCTATAAGAATACTTAGCCAACCATGTAGTTCCCATTGGTGCAAATGGAACTGGAAAACCTTTGAGAGTATACATAACAAAAAACGCAACAAAACTGAGCTGGAAAAGTTGAATGATTTGGTTTTTGTTCATTGCAATCTTTGGTTACAAGCAATTTGCCAAAGTAGAGATTGGAAGTGTAAACCTATTATCTATGATGAAGTAGATGTTAGTTCTCAGTGGCCTACTGAATTGGAACCTTCAACGCCTCTCTTGGATGATTCCTGGCTTGACAATTTGCCCCTTGAATGTAGAGGTAGTCCTTGATGTTGTACATAAAAATTTAACACATATACTGTCAACGATTGTGTTATATGTTGTATCTAGATGACCATACAATATGGTGAATGGCAAATTGGACACGTATATGCAATATCTCTCCACATATATATATTGATTTAACAGGGTCGAATGGGCCGAAAGAATGTCTTGGACTACACCTTAGGATAGTCCTTCCCTTTACTCACCAAAATTAGTAGAAAATTTTTATAAATAAAAGATCTCAAATCTGAGATTTTTCACTCCTTGTATAAGTAAAAAGATCAACAAATTCACTTTTTTTTTTTTTTTTTTTTAAATATTGAGGAATGAGATTCGAAGGTTGTAGCAGTTAATATTAGATTAGTATTAGATTATGCTTTGTGTGCACTATAACACATCTAAATTGTCTATTTTTACAAAGCTTAAAAATGTGCATTTGCATTATCATTATCATATGCTTACCTAATCTGACTGCAACCTAATGATAATAAACATGGGGTCCATGCTTTAAAAATTACTCACATAGACTGTATCAATTTCAAATTTAGATAAAGTGTCAACTTCAGACCATTATTATTATTATTTTTTTTTTACTTTTAAAGAAATAAAATGGTTCCCTTGCTGGAATTATTAAACAAAGCATCAACCATTCTCTACCACAAAAATAAAAATTATGAGAAGTTTGATTTTTTAATGGAAAAAATATATAACTTTGAGAAAATCAAGGCGTATTTCAGAGTTTTAGGATTATTTTTTTTCGTTTATTAGCAATTACAAAAAAATTATAATATATATAATAATAATAATATATATTTATAACATAATTTTATGTTAATAATGACTGTTAAAAAAGTTATATTCATAAAATATATTTCAAAAATAAAAAAAAATGCAACAATAAGCTGCATATACAAAAAATTTACATTAACTAATTAAATATCAAAATTATCATCTAAATTACGTTCACTATCAAATTCTAAATTAATTTGAAATTAATAAAGACATATTGTTAAAAATTCTAGAGAGTATAACTAATAAAAAATAAACTATATCATTTTATTAAATAATACAAACAAATTAAAATGTAATTACACACAAAGATTTTATATTTTTTTAAAGGAATATTACCCTTAAATTAACATTTATTAATAATATAAAAATTTATGGATTCGTGTATCTAAATGAAAATTTATAAAATATAAATACAATGTCAAATTTGAATAATCTTTCATATTAAATTCTCATTTATCCAAATGAAAATAAAGTAATTTTAAAATTACTTCATGAAGTATTTTGAAATTATTAATTATAATTATTTTCAAAATTCTTAATATTTTATGGTAGAAGAAATTTTTAAAAATATAATATTAAATTAACGCTGCAATAACAAACATGCGGGTGATTTTTCTTGTTTAATTATATAAATGGATTAGCCCTTCTATTTGGAACATTATATGGCATCAGTGAGAATTCCCTAATATATTCCAAAATATATAAGAAATTTTTAAAAAATATAATTTTAAATTAAGCGCTGGCAATATACAAACATGCGGGTGTTTTTCTTGTTTAATTATTATAAATGGATTTATTCACGCCCTCTATTTGGAACATTATATGGCATCAGTGAGTAATATCCCCTAAATAATATTACAAAATATATATATATATTAGTATTATATGATGCTATATATATATTATATTATATATACTATATTATATATAATATATAATATATATATATATATATATATATATAATATATTATTAATTATTTTTTTTTTTAGAATGAGAATTCCCTAATAGTTGATTTTGCTATTATTGTGATAATTCACTTTTTTTTTTTTTTTTTTTTTTTTTTGTTCTTCATTCTGCAACTTACATCTTCCCCTTCCTGAGAATTCTAATCAGTCTTAATAGCGAATACTTTTTTTTTTTTTTTTTTTTTTTTGTCTTCATTCTCACTTAGCATCTTCCCTTCTGAGATTCTTAATCAGTCTTAATAGCGAATACTAATAGAGATCAAGGTATAATTTACGAATTGATAATAGATTTGAATTTGAATTTACTTTTCCTAATAAAAAAAAAAAAAGAAACGAAAATTATTATTATATTTTATATTATGAAAATTAATGACTTTGTTCTCTTTTTTTTTATAATAATACACTACTTTATTCATGATTTTTATTTATCAACTATCTAATATTTCGTTTTTCTAAAAAAAAACTAATTAAATTTTTTCATTTATTCATAGAATTTTTTTGCTTTAGATTTATTAAAAGGACAAAATTATCCCTTAACTTAAACCAAAGAGATATTTTCTTCTTTTTCATAAGGTGTACAACGAAAAAAAGACCAAGTGCATTCTAGAAAATCGAGAAGAGTGATTAATTTTGGTACAATATAAGGATCTAATAGTAAGTTTCCTAAATAATACGACTTTCCACTCCTTTTGCTTCTTTAAATTCACCTCTGCTGCTCTAGGTTTCTTGAGTTCTTCCACACACACCAACATGACGCCCATCACAAATTTTCTTGGAATTCTTGGCACAGATTTGCCAACATCCATATTGTTTACTCTCTGCGGTATATTTGCAGTCATTTGGTATACATGGGCATGTATCAAGTCCCATAACCAAAGGAGTTCGCCGCTGCCGCCAGGACCACCTGGCCTACCGGTTATTGGCAACCTGGCCTCTCTTGACCCGGAGCTCCACTCATACTTTGCATCTCTGGCCCATCGATACGGGCCAATCTTTAAGCTCCGACTCGGATACAAGCTTGGTATCGTCGTAACCTCCCCATCTTTGGTTCGTGAAGTTCTTAAAGACAAAGATATCACCTTTGCTAACCGAGATGTCCCTGATGTCGCCCGGTCCGCCGCCTATGGGGGAGTCGATATTGTTTGGACCCCATACGGGCCAGAATGGAGGATGTTAAGGAAAGTTTGTGTCCTCAAAATGCTTAGCAACACCACCTTAGACTCTGTCTACGCCCTTCGCCGCCATGAGGTCCGGAAAACCGTTGGTTACCTATATAATCGGGTCGGTTCACCAGTGGACTTTGGAGAGCAAATATTTTTAGCTATACTGAATGTGATTACCAATATGTTATGGGGAGACACAGTACAAGAGGAAGAGAGAGCGAGCTTAGGATCAGAGTTCAGGAAGGTGGTTGCTGACATGACCGCCTTACTGGGTAAACCCAATATTTCGGATTTTTTCCCGGGTTTGGTTCGATTTGACTTGCAAGGTCTGCAAAAGAAGATGGACAGCTTGTCCGTTCAGTTTGATGGGATCTTCGAAAGAATGATTGCGAAACGGTTGAAGATGGATTCAGAGGGTGGAGAAAGTGCCAGAGAGTGTAAAGACTTCTTGCAATTCTTGTTGAAGGTGAAAGAAGAAGGAGATACTAAGACCCCTCTTACAATGACTCACGTCAAAGCTTTGCTCATGGTATGTAATTTCTTATCTTTGTCCTCCTTTTTATGTGCATTACTTTGTTCTTTAAATTACACTATAGAAGTTCAACATAGAGTTAGTTGAAATAACTGAGCATTTATATTTATTACCATGTATTCGTTTTTATGATTTTTTTTTCATTTAAAATACAAATTCAAATCTACCTTTAGATTGAATCTTGAACTCATTATTAGAAAATATGCATTTAATTATTTGGATTATTAACTTCATTAGTTAATTACAATATCAGTTACAATAATGTAGAATTATTAGGAGTCTAACTCTCAGCTAGGTATAAATTAATTTAAAATAAAAAACATTTCTTTTTATTTCTTAAAATACCTTTGCCATAATAATGATTTTATAAGATTAGGGGATGAATACTTTTATCATAAACTTTTAGCTTATTTAAATTTGTAAAATTCATTAGAAATTTCACGTTTTTTTGGCAGAATTTAATTATATTCAAATCCATACAATTGAATTTGTAAAATTTAAATTTTTATTTTTTTTCATAAAACACAAAAAATTAGATTTATAAATAAATTTCACAAATTTTATGGAGATTATTTATTCCAAACAAGTGGTAAATTTGAATCCTCTTGTTCACCCGTAAAGTGAGGAAGTAATTAGCTATCTTTATTTATTCTAAAAACCTTTACACTTTAGTATGTTGAGGATATTAAATCTTCTAATATTGTTCTTTGTAATATAATTATTAGTTAATTGTGCTTTGGTTATTGATTAAGAATATAATATAAACAATATAGAACAATAACATTACCAGCCAAAACAAGGTAATTATAGATACCTATGGCCTTCGACTCTCGATCACATACAGAAAGAAAGCTACTTGTCCAAAGGAGACAAACACAAAAATGGCCGGCTACAATAGATACCTATGGCCGAATTGCAGATCTTGGTAATTACGGTGGTGGCCTTTTTGTTATCACTAAAAGCACTACTTGCTTTCAAGAAAATCCAACTATGACTCTGACCTGTGTGTACATTGTTATTTGAGAACAGGAATTTTTATAAGAACTATCCAAATTGGTTAAATTTACAAAATATGTGTACTCTATTTACAGGATATGATTGTGGGCGGTTCAGACACATCATCAAACTCAATTGAGTTTGCAATGGCAGAGATTATGAACAAATCAGAAGTAATGAGAAAAGCTCAGCAAGAATTAGACACGGTTGTCGGAAAAAACAATATAGTAGAAGAGTCTCACATACACCAACTGCCTTATTTGTATGCTATCATGAAAGAGTCATTGCGATTGCACCCAGCACTCCCCTTATTAGTCCCTCATTGCCCTAGTGAAACCTGCACTGTAGGAGGGTACACCATTCCGAAGGGTGCTCGAGTTTTCATTAACGTGTGGGCGATACATAGAGACCCTTCAGTTTGGGAAGACCCGTTGGAATTTAAACCAGAGAGGTTTTTGGATAGTGGATGGGATTACAGTGGAAATGATTTTAATTATTTCCCATTTGGGTCTGGAAGGAGAATTTGTGCTGGTATTGCAATGGCTGAGAGGATGTTTTTGTATTCACTTGCTACATTATTGCATTCTTTTGATTGGAAATTGCCTGCAGAAGGAAAGAAGATGGATCTTTCTGAGAAGTTTGGGATTGTTTTGAAGTTGAAAAATTCTCTGATCGCTGTTCCAACACCAAGGTTGTCTGATCCGAAACTCTATGAGTAGTTCTCTTTTGTACTGCTTATAATTGTTGTACATTAAGTACCAGAATTTGAAGATTTTTATAAATACGAACATAAATCAGACTATATTTTAAAAATAAGTAAATAGAGACCTACTTTAAAAACGAGGGGCATGCATTAGTTCTTCTTCACGTTATTTTTTTTTTTTTTTTTTTTTTTTTTTTTTTTTTTTTTTTTTTTTTTTTTTTTTTTTTTTTTTTTGGTTGCAAAATTTGCTTTATCTTAACAATTTCATTTTTTTTAGTAATAGTACTTACTCTTTTTATTATACATGCTTTTGCATGAATTCTCACACATTATTTCATGATTGAGAACAAAAGTTTCTAATTTTCAAAGATTTCAATTTCAAAAAACTGCAAAAAAAAAGGCTTGAAATCTAAAATCATAGTATTTTACCTGAATTATAATTCTATGAGAACCCAAATTGAGATGTTAAATTGCAAGCTTTAACCTAATTGATTTTGTTTTTTTAAATGTGAATTTTCTCCTCCATCAAAATCTCTTTATAGTAATTATCAAGACAACTGCCATTAAAAAGACCAGACGATCCAGAGTTACTTTGCAGAAAGTAGCCACAAAATCAAAAATCTTTTTGATCTTTTAAAATATGTATCACGTTCATTTATTTGTCTATATTGTTCTTCCTATTAATCTAAATAATATATTAATCGAAATAATAAATAGTCTCGATTTTGATAAAAATGAAAAAAAGTAAATTTTATTTTGAAATCACTCACGTGAGAGAGAGAAGATGCTTCATGCCAAATCTAGATCGAAGAGATTCTACCAAAACTGAGCCTCTAATCATGAGAAATAAGGAAAAATAAATTTTGTTTGTAGACACGTGTACGATAAAATAAGCCCTCTTCGTGTTTTGTTGATAAAAATGAAAAAGAAAATATCATGTCTGTCATGTGTGGTCGGAATTTAACAACGCAATACAACTCATTAGTTATCAAGGAAATGTTAGGTACCGATAATAAAAGTTACAGGAATAATTACGAAACGAACAATAAAAATATAACACAAAAATTTATATGGTTTATTTTTTAATTATTTAAGATTACATTTATGGGATCAATTCTAAATATTTTTTTTATTAAAAATAATAAATTTACAAAGAAAGTAATAAAAAAATAATGGCACTCAAAAAGTATTTTCTAAAAAAACACTTCAAATTATCTTTATTATTTTTCTCTACCTTAATTTTAGAACTCGTTCTAAAATTAAAAATTTTTTATTTTTCTCTCTTATTAGTGTAGTGAGATGAACTGAGCAATCTACAAATAGAAGAGGTGGAGGTGTTAATCACGCTTTCACCGAAAAATAAATCACCTCACCTAAAAAAATTTTCTTCTTCCTTTTCAACTGTGTGGGTCCCACTGAGTGGGCACCGCACAACAGGAAACGAGGGAAGAGAAGAAGCCCACTCATTAGTTATCAAGGAAATTTAGATCCCATTTCCAATATTTTCAGTGTCACTCGCAAAAATATTGAAAATGGCTGATAGTTTATGGGGATGGTACTGGGTTCCAACCATTCAGAGGCATAAAATTTCCGAAGCAGCTCTAATTTCCATATCAGCTACAATAATTACACTCCTCTAGTTATCGCGGAATCTCAAGAAATCAAAGATCCCTCCATTGCCTCCAGGCCCCCGGGGCTTGCCAGTAATTGGATACCTTCCATTTCTGGGCACTTTCCTCCACAAAAAGTTCACAGAATTAGCTCAAGTGTACGGCCCTATCTACAAACTCTGGCTTGGGAATAAATTACACGTAGTTATAAGCTCGCCATCACTAGCCAAAGAAGTGTTTCGGGACAAAGATAAGATTTTTGCCAATAGAGATCCGCCGATGGCTGCAAAGGTTATCACCTCACCTAAAAAAATTTTCTTCTTCCTTTTCAACTGTGTGGTTAGATAGAGCAACGTTTGTATATCGATGGTGTTGAAGAAGATAAGAGCAAGATGAGGAAGAAAGACTTCTTGCAGATTCTTTTGGATTTTAACAAGAATGGAGATTCTGAAACATCTATCACTACCGATCAACTCAAAGCTGTGCTATTAGTATGATTATTCTTAATTTATTAATTTTTGGTTTTTTCATTTCTTTTTCTTTTCCTGTTAAAACAATATATGTTACGAGTTAGACATTTTCTTACTACACTTCTTGCAGATTCTTTTGGATTTTAACAAGAATGGAGATTCTGAAACATCTATCACTACCGATCAACTCAAAGCTGTGCTATTAGTATGATTATTCTTAATTTATTAATTTTTGGTTTTTTCATTTCTTTTTCTTTTCCTGTTAAAACAATATATGTTACGAGTTAGACATTTTCTTACTACAATTTTGGTGCTTCATAAATTCTGTTCTTGATAGGACATTATGGTGGGTGGCACTGACACATCATCGACCATGCTAGAATGGGCAATGGCAGAGATAATGCTACATCAAGAAGTAATGAAGAAAGTCTATCAAGAATTAGATGAAGTCGTTGGAATTAACAACACTGTAGAAGATTCCCATTTGCACAAGTTGAAATATTTAGATGCTGTCCTCAAGGAGACATTACGTTTGCACCCTGCACTTCCTCTGTTACTGCCTCATGTTTCAAGTCAATCAACTACATTAGGTGGCTATACCATACCCAAGGGTACTGCTGTTTTTGTCAATGTTTATGCTATCCATAGGGATCCCCTTTTTTGGGACAATCCCTTGGAATTTATACCTGAGAGGTTCTTAATTAGTGAATCTAGCAAATTTGATTATTCTGGCAACAATTTTCAGTACTTACCACTTGGATCAGGAAGGAGAGTTTGTGCAGGAATTCCATTAGCAGAACGGATGGTTATGTACGTTTTGGCTTCATTCTTGCATTCATTTGAATGGAAATTACCACAAGGTACTGAACTGGAATTATCAGACAAATTTGGTATAGTCGTCAAGAAAATGAAGCCCTTAATTCTTGTACCTAAACCTAGGCTCTCTAATGTAGACCTGTACTAGAGAGAAAGATTTATCTATATTCCCTTTCTGTTTATGTTTATGTTCATGTGTGAGTAATTGTCTGCCACTTGCAATAGAAATTTCTTATCTATCTACTATGTATAAAAGGAAGAAATGCCCGTCACTTTTCATTAAGTGTAATTTTTTAAATTAAATTAAATTGAAAGCAAAAATTAAGTTGCACTAGATAAAATTATTTAAAAACACTATAATTTTATTTATATATTGCAATTAAAAAATGACGACACTACATAGCTACTTAAGACAAGTGATGTTATTGCTGACGACACATCATCTGTCCCATCTCTGACTGTTTAAGGGTGAGAGTCTGTATAAAAGTGTTTTGATTAAAAGAGTTTTCGATCATTTGATAAGTTAAAATAAAAGGCTATTGATTATTGCTTTATTTCTGTCCATAAGTTTTTTATCCATAAAAAATAAGTTTTGCATATTTAATTTTTAAAAAAATGAAATGGATCTATTAGGAATAGCCAAACTTCACAGTTCCCACATAATGGTCGCCTATTAAGAAAATGATAGGGTGCCTAACTTTTTAGACATCGGAGCGTTTCTCCAACATTGTAGAATATGACAATTCATAACGTTGAGTGTGCAGAGGATATTATAAATATTAGCATCAGAGAGAAAATTTAAAAAAGAAAAGAAAAGAAAGAGCTTAATTAAATAGACTTAAATTATAGAATTCAATAATTGACAATTGCAAGTGTTTAACTATACTTGGTATATAGACTCATTTCGTATATCAAACTAATTAAAAATAAATTTTTGATTGTAATAATGATATTTTTAAATATTCATCTGGTAAAAATAGATGAAAATAATAATATCTAAAAAATCTTTATAAATTGATTTTGTGTATGGATAGTAGGTAAGTCCGCATTAACAATAATAATGAAGTTGTAAAAAAAATACATATAATCAACATTCATTGTCATGTGATAGCCCACAACTTGTAATTAACATTCATATTATAGGTGACAAGAACTGATTGGTTCTCCATGATTTTAATTTTATAATATTTTTCCATCCTGGTGCTAATTGAATTTTTATATACAAAAGGAAAGTCCTCAAGTTGATGAAAATCCCATTTCAATATTTCCACAAAAATGTTGAAAACGGTGTCTAGTTTTTGGTCATGGTGCTGGTCTGTTTTCAACAACGAGGAGCAGAAAGTTTCCGCCGCAGTTCTTACCATATCAGTCGCTACAATTACATTATTCTGCTTGTTATTTCTCAGGAAACAAAAGAAAGCAACACCTCCATTGCCTCCGGGCCCTTGGGGCTTGCCGGTAGTGGGATATCTTCCATTTTTAGGCACTTTCCTGCACAAGAAATTCACAGAATTGAATGAAGTGTATGGTCCTATTTGTAAGCTCTGGCTTGGAAACAAATTATGCATAGTTATCAGCTCACCATCGCTAGCCAAAGAAGTTGTTCGCGATAAAGATACAATATTTGCTAACAGAGATCCACCAGTGGCTGCTAAAGTTATCACTTATGGTGGGAATGATATCCTATGGTCATCCTACGGTCCTGAATGGAAGAAGATCCGGAAGGTGTTTGTTCGAGAAATGTTAAGTAATTCAAATCTTGATGCTTGCTGTCCATTGAGGGAGAGAGAAGTAAAGAAAGCCATAACATATGTGTTTAGTAGAGCTGATAATAACTCAATAAACTTTGGCGAGTTTGTATTTGAAATAGCTGCAAATGCTATTATCAGAATGTTGTGTGGTGGAACGCTTGAAGGAGAGAAATTGGGTAGTTTTGTTCCAGAGTTTAGTAGATTAGCAGAAGAGATTATGGTGCTGCAGGGAAAACCTAATGTTTCAGACTTTTTTCCTCTGCTTGCTAGGTTTGATTTGCAAGGTTTAGAGAAGCAAACAAGAAAGGTATTCTTATTTCTTGAGAAAATTCTTAATCCTGTAATAGAGCAACGTTTGAATATGAGTGCCAAGGATGAAAAGAGTGAGAAAAAGCGAGACTTCTTGCAGATTCTTTTGGATTTTAACAGGAATGGAGATGCTGAAACATCAATCACCAGCAAACAACTCAAAGCCTTGCTAATAGTACGATTCTTACATAATTATTGTCTTTCTTTATTTTCCTTTTTAAGTTCTTTATTTTAACTTCATCTGTGTTCTTAACAGGACATTGTGGTGGGTGGAACAGACACAACGGCAACCATGCTAGAATGGGCAATGACAGAACTAATGCTCCATCAAGACGTAATGAAGAAAGTTTACCAAGAATTAGATGAAGTTGTGGGAATTAACAACGTTGTAGAAGAGTTCCATTTGCCGAAGTTGCAATATTTAGATGCTGTCCTAAAAGAAACATTTCGTTTGCACCCAGCACTTCCTCTGTTAGCACCTCATTTTTCTAGCCAATCTTGCATACTTGGTGGCTATACCATTCCTAAGGGCACTACAGTTTTCCTAAATGTTCATTCTATCCATAGGGATCCCCTTCTTTGGGACAATCCCTCAGAGTTTAGGCCTGAGAGGTTCTTAAATAGTGATGAACATATCAAATTCGATTACTCAGGGAACAATTTTCAGTACCTACCGTTTGGATCTGGAAGGAGGGTTTGTGCCGGAATTCCCTTAGCAGAGAGGATGTTGATGTACGTTTTGGCTTCCCTACTGCATTCATTTGAATGGAAATTGACATGTGAGACACAGTTGGAGTTGTCAGAAAAATTTGGGATTGTAATAAAAAAAATGAATCCTTTAATTCTTATACCTAAACCTAGGCTCTCTAATTTAGAGCTTTACTAAAATGAAAGGATTCATCTGTGTTTGCCCTTTGGCTTGGCGGCTGAATTTATGTTTATATTAACAGTACTTGTACTTCTAAGGAGGAGAACAAAAAAAAAAAAAAAAAAAATTACAGTACTTGTACTTCTAAGTTGAGGAGAAACAAAAAAAAAAAAAAAAAAAAAAAAAAAAAAAAAAAAAAAAAAATTTCTTTCAGATCTTCATCGAAAGAGAATAAATAAATCATCAAAACCAAATTCAAAATTCAATTTGGTATTTCAAGATTAAAAAAGAAAAATTTGGCTCTCATTTAAAATTCAATCCTCAATTGAAACTAACTGACTGACTAAGCTAAAAAGAAGAAAAGATTATTAAAAAAGGAAAAAGAAAAAAAGATGAAAAAGTAATTTATCCTATAATCACTTTCTATTTGAAATTTATAAATGAAGATTTATAGTCTCTTATACTTTTTTTTAAAGGTAAATTACTAATTAGTCCTTATATTTTAATGAAACTTAAAAATTGAGTTTTTTTTACTTTTTTTTCTCTTTTGTTTTTTTTTTTTTACTTCCAGAAAAGGAAATGCCGTATCATGTGCGTTAGGAATTTAAGCAAGTTGCTCCAAAGGATAAGATTTGCTTAAACACAGAAAAGTAAAAAAAATCTACTTATCCACAGAAAAGTCAAATAGCCCAAATTGATTTTCTCCTGTACGACGTCATATCAGGAAAACTTATTGAAACATGACAAAATTTAATAAATACCTGCGGTCCACTTGTTGTGGGTTTTTTTGGAGAAATTTGTTGTGGGGTTTTGACAAAAAGAATACGTCTATATAATAAAATTATACTACTAAATTTTAAATCATAAATCTTAAATTCTAAAATAGTATATTATAATTTTAAATTTTAAATCTTAAACTGTCACGACCCATTTCCATGGACCGGACCGGCCCTAGGACCTGGGTGGGCTTAAGGCCCCCGAAGCCCGTAGTAAGCCTAACTTATTTAATCTCACCTTCTATTCATAATTATAGATTTCAGGCCATTAACTCAAAATCGCAGTTCATATATTTAATAGTGGACTTTTTACTATTTATTTACAACCCACTGGGAATACAATTGCGGAACTCTACCTTGTATATTTACATCGTTATTTCTATCATTAAAAGTCTCTACAATAAGTGTTTTCTCAACTCCAACCAAGGCTTTTATTCATTTCTATATACCTGAAAAAAAAATAGTAGGCAGGGGTGAGCGCCAACTCAATGCAGTGGTAGTTTAACCCTCTCACCCCACCACAATCACACAGGAAGCAAATATTTTTATTCTAGTTTACCGTTTAATTATATGATCATATGCAGTTGTCACACCAAATGGCAACTACAACAGCAATCACAAGTATCATCACCTTCATATAATCACATCACGTGGAAATTAGTCAGTGGCACCACTGAAACCCCAACGAGCCGTCCTCACACCATGGCTCGCCCTCTCATACATGTTGCACCGGGGAGCCGTCCCCCATACGGCCAACTGGTCTAATCCTCACTGACCAGTCCCTCATTGTTTTTCTATTCTCTCTTTTTCTTTTCATACCCACAGAGGCAACCCCGGTGGTCTCCATCCAATCTAGATCATCAAGTGCTCACAAACAGGAGGCCACCCTGCGGGCTTACATCAATCTTAGATTATCAGGTGCGCAACAACAAAAGCCATCCTGTGTTTTCCATACAATCCATATCATCAGGTGCACACGGTGGCGCCGATTCCCATTTTCCGGCCGAACGGTCAATATCATATCATATTCAGGATCCATATCACAGACCGTCCTCACAACCGATGGTGGTCCACTTTCATCCCAATTCCACACAAACAAGGCTACAGTATATTCATAAGCACAAGTAGCACAAGTAATCAAACAATTTTTACTATCAACAAATAGTGCATCATAATATGGCAATTCAATAAAATAATGCATGATAACATTTAGCTGAGAATGCATGAATGCAGGCGGATGAGGCGAATTATCTAACACTACTCACAGTTCTTTATTGCCCTCTAAAGGACTATCTCTAGTACTGCATCCTTCTAGCTTTTGTCTCACCATCCCAGAGCTCATACACATCTAGAAAGAAAATCCTGTATAAAAATCCTAACCTCATAAATATACTTTGCATTCGTTACCACTTTTTGAGGCTCTATAGCTATTTATCTTAATTCATTATTAATTTAAAAATTTTAATATATATATATTTATAGATACAGATATTGGGTTTCCTTATTTATTTATCACTCTAATAATCTTTTATTTTATTTTATCTAACTCTAGTTTATTTATTTTCTTCTACCGAAATTTATTTTATTTTTATACCAAATTTATTTTTATTTTTCTACCGAAATTTCGGCATCATCTCCCTTAAAAATTTGACTATCTACCTATTAAAATATCAATAATTTCACAAATATTCAATCCATACGGCCCGCCCATCCATCGGGCAATTAATCAAATAACATTTTCCCATCCTCCTTCAATCTCAACATCACCACACAATCCAATTTATACATTACAATAACATTATTTTAAAACTACCTTAATTATATCAACACTAATATTATAAAGCTATTAACTATTCACAATGACCAAATTAAATTAACCAAATTAATTAACTACAAATAAAATTAATTTAATTAACTAATATTACTAACACTAACTTAACTAAACTAATTGACTACAAATAATAAAATTAATTTCATTAACTACTACTACTAAATTAATTAACTACAAATACTAAAATTAATTTAATTAACTAATATTACTAACACTAACTTAACTAAATAAATTAACTACAATTAACTAATTTCATTCACTAAAACTAACTTAACTAAACTTAACTAAACTCATTAATTGCAAATAATAAAATTTTATTTCATTAACTAATATTACTAAATTAATTTCTGCTAGATCGGAAATTTCCACGCGTGCCGGATCGGAGAGCAGTAGCTGTTGGTGGTCGGAGGCACGCTGGAGCGGCGGCAGAGGAGTGATCCGGTGGTCAGAGGCTTGCTGGAGCTGCTGCAGGCCGGCGATGGCGCGACAAGATGGTGCTGTGATGGAGATCCACTCGAGCTGGTGCTGCATGCGGCTGCGACTGGCATGGCGCTGGAGCTGCGTGCGGCTGCGACCGGCGTGGCGCAGGTGTTGGTGGTTCGCGTCCCTGCTGTTGCTGGCTGAGGTCGACGCAGGCGCAGTCACTAGGCGTTGAAGATTAAAGGGAAAAAGGATGTTTCTAGAATGGTTTGGGCGAAACCGGTCTGGTGTTTCATATTATTTCTTGAAAATTTAACTGTTCTCAAATAAAAAATTTCCGCATATTCTCTTTTGGGCTTGGGCCCAATTCAAAAATTTGGGCTTGAATCGAGATTATATTTCATTTGCAACCCACGCGGTCAAAATTTGTAATTTTTGATTTAATAAAAATTCAAAAGTTTTGAAAATAAAAATTCGGGGTATTACAATCTCCCCCCCTTAAGACAATTCATCCTCGAATTGAATTTAGTGGGAAAGAATAAGAATGGATGCATGGGAAACTTAAAGTTATAAGAAATTACTTCTAATACCAAGGAGACAGCTCAAGAGCAAAAATACAAATCAAGGAAACGAAATGAGTGGGGTATTCTGATTGTACTTCTACCACCAATCATATTTAGACTAAAATTTCATTCACATTACATAGTACCACCTAGCTGAAGCTTATAAGAAACTTTATTAACTTTATTACCGAAATCTCCAATACTATAATCGAACAGTTACTGAAATCTTTAGAAAATCGATCTTTAATTCAATATCTTTCAATTAACCTAGTTGAGCAATAAATACGTAATAGTAATAATATTTACAAAAGCAAAACAATGTGAAATTCATTTTATGTATAATAAGAATTGATTCATTTAATTTACATATGTTATGACTAAATCGTTTGCTAATCAAGATTGAGAAACTGTTATTTTAATCCAAAATGTTAAGAAAATTTTCTTGTAATTTTAATTGTCTATAATATCACAGGGTTATTCAAGTTCACAGTAGCAGTTCTTTTTATACAAGTTCTATTCTTCTTATAATATTTTATCGTATGCTAGCGCAAGTATTTAGATACTTTATTTACTAAGGACATCCCCGCACTATTAGTTATCTTACTCTATAGGGATCTCCTCACCTTCTGTTTAATCGCCTTACTTACATCTACCACTTATTCCTTAAATTATCTTAACATGTATCTTTAAAAGTTGACTTCTATAGTACATCTTTTGCTTTTCAATCCTCTATTTCACGTATGTTGCTTACTAATTCATCCTAAGAATATTGAAGCATACTTTTTAATTATTCCATCTACTACCATCTACTATTAATCATTAATAGTAATTTCTCTCGTTAACAATATTTCATCCTAACATTTATTACTTACCCCAACTATTTACATTTTACCTAATACCTATCAATATATAAAAGTCTTAAATGAAATTTCTTAAGTCCCAACTTTATGTTACCTTACCATCCAAATATTACATCAAATAAATAGGCGTCAAATTCTCTGTCAACTAAATAATTTATTCATTTCTATATGGGACTTCAGTTCATGCCTTAATTATGAAATAATAACAAATCTCTAATTAGTATCTATAATACATAGACTAATTGTTTCACTTTTCATCAAAGTTTTAAAATATAATATCAACTTATCTATTTCACCTGTCTTTATTTCGTTAATCTTTCTCTTATTTAAGTCTAGCAAGGTATTTATAACTTCCTTTAATTTATTCCTTTAACCTTATCAACTCTAGTTTCTCTCTAGTTTCTCAGGTTAGCACAAGGCCACATGATGTGATTATCTAGATTTGACTTAGTTCAGGTCTTTCCTCCTTCCGCTGGCATGTCAAAATTCTTATCAATCACCTCACGGTTCATTTCACTAGTTTCTTTTCACTAGATTTATCCTTTTCTTTATCAAATTCATGTGATTACACATTATGACATCATTAAAACCAATTCCAACCAAAGATCATATATTAATCCAGTAGCCCCTCAAATCACAATTATATTCCAATCCCACAATCAAATCTAATTATATTC